AGAAGGCAGGCAGAGGCTGCACTTCAAGTCACAACAGCCAGAATTTCCAAGTTTGATCACTGGGTAAGGTTAGCATTTCCCATCTTTACCTACTAATCACAGACTGTGTCTTCACAATAAACACTGAGCAATTTCAGGAATGTTGCTTGCTTTCTGCTGCTTTTCTGTGGTTCATACCCACCTCTATCATAACTAAGTAGCACACATCAGGTGGAGAAGGAAGGAAAAGAAAACCTTTCCATTAGAAAATGTTCAATACTGTCAGCTGCAAATCCAGACATGAGCCTATTGCCACACCTGAATTTCTTCTTCTATGAAGGAAAAGAGCCTAATCACACACAACAACGAAAAGCTGCTCTCTGAGATCCCACTGAATATGCACAGAACTAAGACAACAACATATTCTCAAGTCTCAGATGATGGGGAAAAAAAAAAAAAAAAAACTCAGTTACACCTAGAAGAAGATAAGGAAAACAACAAATGCTACCCCCCAGCACAATGAGATGGTGTCTTCAGAAGCCAGAGGTACCAATACCAGTGGCTCATCATTACCATCCTGTGTCCTACACTTGCATTCCCACTCCCAAACTTCTTCCTCTCCTTTCACTAGCAAAAATACAAGACTCACTTCTGTTCTACTCTTCATTCTCTAATTCCCTTTCTAAGGAAGTATCTGCATACATAGGTTACTTCCTGAGTATGTTGCAAGTCTCTAAAATGTTATTCATGAGTAGTCAATCCTTTTGATACAGGAAAAAAGAGCATCCAGGTACTTTTCTATAACACTGAAATACATCCAAATTTTAAAAACACATCAGCTAGAGAAACAAATCAAGGACTGCTATACATCTTCAGGGGAAGAAAACAAAGTATTTCATCAGTAAAGGCCTCCAACACTTCACTCGTTCTGGACTTCAAAGAATGCAGTGCAACAACTCTTTCATATCCATGCAATTAATTCTGTACTTTGTTATCTTTTGTTAAGAATTCAATACATTCTTTCCCACTGTAATGAGGAACAAGAACATATTCATTTAAGCTTCTATAAAGTGAAGAGACAAACTGGTGTATATATATATCACCCAAAATACAGTGTGTTCACACTGATAATAAAGTAGCCCAGTATGTATTTGCATTATAGGGATGTTGTTACCCTCTTCTACTAAGCAGCACCCAAAATTGCTTCTAAAATATTGTCCTCAATTTTGTCCATCATTTTTGTCACCGTTTCCCCAGTATAAGAAGTGTAGAAACTGGAGAAAGGCCAGAGCTACTAAGATGGTCTCTGGTCTAAAGCAAATTACCTATGAGGAGAAGTTAAGGACCTCTTTAGTAAAGTGGAAGCTAGTGGAAGGCTTTGTAGACACTTACAACTAACTTCCTGAAGGGTGCTTACAAAGAGGACAGAGCTAAACACTTCTGGTCAGCAGACTGTATAACTAATAAATGACTATAAAGCTACAAACTGCAGCTTGGGAGGTTCAAGTAGCAACTTAAGACTGTCTTTTCCAGCACATTTTTCAAGAAAACAGAAAAAACAAAGTTTCCACTCTGAAAAGCAACAAGAACCATTTATGGGTCACTTTCCGAAAGGAATAACATGAATGTTAGCATTCACAGGGATATTAATGCAACATATTAGCAAAGCTTTTAAGGATATTGTTAATTTCAGGAACAGTTGGAAGTTATAGGCAATCTCTTCAGCCTTCTATAAACTTTCCCAGTAGTCTCTTTTACTGGGTAAAAGTATACTTTTTAGTATACTATAGTATACCATAGTACTTACATCAGTCATTCCATATGTCAGTATTTCTACAGAGAACCGGAAGTACCAGTATCCTGGCTATTCAAGGTACTACTTGAAACCATTAATGACCACAATCACTACAATGACTCATGTTAGGCATTATCAAGATTTAAAAAAAAAAAAAAAAAGATTAATTTTTCTTTATGTAAATGAACAAGGTTGTCTATATTTTGCTTAATTTAAGCCACAGTAAAGACGACTAATAAAAATGTCTAAGTAGGAAAGAGTTACAGGGGTTTTTTTCCTCTCTTACTGCTACTGACAAAAATAGAGGAACAGAACTTCTATAAATTTCTTTTTACAAAAACACAACACTGAAACCAAAACCTAGATCTGAAAAAAAAAAATCAGCACACGGAAGACACAAATGATAGAACAACAAAGAGCAATGAGGAACACAGGAATAAAGGACAGCAGTGAGCAAGGCTAACAGTAATTTTAAGGGAAGTCAGTCAGATTACATAAAAAGTATTGAGGAGAAGAATGGCCTTTCAGGTTAAATGGAAAGCACCAAACCGACCAAAAACTTGTAACAGAAAAAGGAATCAGTAAAAAAGTGACTGGGACTATTCCAAGGACTTGCTTGGATATCTCATAAGAACCTCTGTCATATGATTCGGTATTGATGACACAGAGCCAAACAGATGCAAAGAGGCTACCGAAAAATATTTTTAATGTTTAATAGTGACCTTATAGGATGACCAACCTCACAAGACCTATCTCATTCCTTTGGCTTCTTCCTAGTTCACCTCAGCTTAAGAGATTTTTGAAAACATACAACAAAACACCTCATAATAGCTGACACAAACACAAGTTTCACTCTGCCCTCATCCTCTGAAAAAGGCTTTAAGCCATTTCAGTTTAACCACACTTAAAATCTGCTTCTGATGATACAGTTAAAATTTTATAGGTACAGCTTGGGAAACAAAGACCTCTATTATGTCACATATACACAGTACTAAATGCCCTTCTGCAGAACAGGACACTGAAAGGATGAGAGAAGAAAAGCAGGAAGCGTTGAAAAGAACTAGTGTTGACATTAAGTTTTGAGAAATCAAAACTCATAGGGAACATGCTGTTTGTAAAGACTAAGGCAGTTCCTGCATATTATGAATGCTAATTTGAAAGCCACTACAAACACACTGCAGACATCATCTATGAGACATGGGAAGCAAGGTATGTGGAAGCAAAAGTTGGAAGCAGTATCAGTACTACATTTAGGGCCATGTTCTTACTTTTTACACATTACTGGTGTCTTCTAAGGTAACAAGCTGGAGAAATAACTCATCGCTGATGCACTGGCCCAGCCTTTGATGCAGAGAACCTGCTCTGCAACAAAGCTTCAACTGTTGTTCTTTTAAACTGCAGGAAGAAAATAAGCCCCTTTATTAAAGGCCAACACTTGTCCTTTCCTACAAAAAGGAAGCTCTGACAACAGACCACGCAGGTTCATGCCTCATATTCCTCCGAGGCTTTTCCATCAATTCTATCCCAGCTGAAAACCATTTCAAGGAGAAACCAGGAAACCAGCTCCCAGGAACTAGGTAACGGTTCTTTGCCTGTCTCCAAGCAAGCGCTTTGCCACAGCCAAACCACAGAAAGCGCAAAGCCGGGCTGCCTTACCCCCGGCGGCCTGCAGCAGCCTGCGCAGCAGGCGCCGCACAAGCCCCGCCGGGGCACGGGCTCACCAGGCAGCGCAAGCGGTGCCTGCGGGGTCGGGGAAGCGCAGTACCGCCCGCCGCGCCGCCGCTCCGGCGCTCCCGCCCCCGAGCCGAAGCCGCTTATCCCCGCGCCCCTCTCCCCAGCCGCGCCGCGCACCGCCCCGGGCCCTGCACCGACCAGCTCCGCGCCCCGCCGCCGGCCCGCCCGCCCGCCACGCCGAGCCGGGCGGGGAGACGGCCCAGCCGCGCCAGGGCGGCAGCGCGCGGCCGGACCCCGGTCCCGGCGGCGACGGCGGGAGGGGGTACCCCGTCCGGGCGGCGCGAGGCGACTCTCACCGCGGCTCACCGCTGCCGACACGCGCCGCCCCTCTGCCGCTTCCGAAGCTCGCGCCACGAGCCGGCGCCAGCTGCTCCTTTCTCGACGCGCCGCCCTGACGTCAGTGCCCGGCGACAGCGCCTCGGGGGGCGGGGACTCGAGCCGGGTGGGTGGGGGGCGCTGGGCGCGTGGTGCCGCCTGACGTCAGCAGCTTCCCTGGGTTAGGGGCGGGGGGGGTGGGCGGCGTGGCGGGTCGCAGGCCGGGGAGTCACCCGCGCGTTTCGCTTCAGCCCGGGTAACGGTGCGTGAACGGTTGGTAACGGCCGAGGAAAACGTAAACTTCTGAGACTCCTTTACTGGCGTGTTGTGGGGTTCGTCTGAGCAGTTGGGTCGGCGCGGAGAGGGGTGTCGAGGGGCTGGGCCAGAAACCACAGAACGGTCTGGGCTGGAAGGGACCTTAGAGAGACCATCCAGCTCCAACCCCCCTGCCACGGGCAGGGCCCCCTTCCCCCAGCCCAGGGTGCTCCCAGCCCCGTCCAGCCTGGCCTTGAACCCTTCCAGGGAGGGGGCAGCCACAGCTGCTCTGGGCACCCTGGGCCAGGGCCTCACTGCTCTCATAGGAAAGAATTTCCTCCTTAGATCTAACCTAAATCTGCCCTCTTTCAGTTTAAAACCATTACTACTCATCCTATCACTACACTCCCTGTGAAAGAGTCCCTCCCCATCTTTCCTGTAGCCCCCTTTAAGTACTGGGGGACCACTCAAAGGTCTCCCTGGAGCCTTCGGGCTGAACATCGCCAACTCTCTCAGCCTGCCCTCACAGGGGAGCTGCTCCAGCCCCCTGATTGTCTTTGTGGGCTTCTCTGGACCGGCTCAAGCGGGTCTGTGTCCTGATGTTGGGTCCCCAGAGCCGGACACAGCACTGCAGGTGGGGTCTCATGAGAGCTGAGGGGCAGAATCGCCCACCGCTAAGCGTTTGATAATAATATTTATATATACAATTTTATGCTGAATCAAGTGCCTCGTGCTCGGAACTCAATTTTTGTTTATTTTGGGGAGCAACCGACACTGTGAAAAAGAGCCCGGTGCCGCCCGCGGGCCAGGGCCGGCGACCCTCACGCCCGCACCGCCGCTCTACGCCACGCCGCGCCCGCGCGTTAGGCGGCCCGGGCGCACCGCCGGACCGCGGGGGGGCGCTGTCCGGAGGGGCGGGGCGGGGCGGGGCGGTCCCGTCGCGCGCGGCACGTGTGGGGGCAGCGGGGGCCGCGCCGAGCCGGCCGCCGCCATGGTGAAGGTGCGGGCGGGCAAGCGGCCGCGGCAGGAGCGCGGGCAGGGCCACGCCAACGGTGAGTGTGGGCCGGGCGGCGGCGGCGGCGCCCCCGGAGAACGGGAGGCCGGGCCCGGAGGGGAGCGCGGTGTGGGGCGGGAGGAGCGCGGGGAAAAGCGAAGCGCCGCTCGCCGCGGTTCCGCGGGGTGCGCTCGCACCTGGCGTGACGCCGCTCTCCACCCTAGGCATCCGCTTCAACACCGGGGCCGGGCAGCACATCCTGAAGAACCCCCTCGTCGTCAGCAGCATCGTCGAGAAGGTGGCTGGAGGAGCGGGGGGCGCCGCTGGGCAGGCGGCGGGAGGAGGCGGCCGGCCGGCAGCCGCCCCGTGGCCGTGGGCTGGGCGCCGTGGCCCTGCGCACCCGCACCGGCCCCGCCGCGCTGGGCGGAGCTGGCCGAGGGTTCCATGGGAAAGCGTGTCCTGATCCACTTCCCTGGCCGTGGCCTTTCTCTGGTTGCGGAGGGACCTTCCTTCCCTCTCTACAGCAGTTACTGCTTTGATGTTGCTTTTATTTTTTTTTTTTTTTAAGAATGTGGCCGCTTGCGTGTTCTATGCATCTCTCTACATCTCTCGTGAATCGGCTTTAAGACATTTCCTGTTGTCCGTGTTTCCCTCTCATCCTTTTCTAAACGATGTTCACAGTCTGCTAGCTGATTTTGGCTTTTTACTGAGCTGCACGTACCTTTTGTTTTAAAATCAAAGGGCTGCTTGAAATTGGTTCTAGAAAAATAACCATTTGTCCTTAGGCTGCCCTGCGACGCACAGATGTCATTTTGGAAGTAGGACCAGGAACCGGTAACCTGACTGTAAAGATGTTAGAAAAAGTAAAAAAAGTAAGTGCAAATTTCCCCTTCGCCTTCCCAAGTTCTAACCACGCTGTGGCTTGGACTGTGGCAAACAGAGCCATCTTCATCTGCTTGATTCCAATAAGTAGAATTACTCTGTGGATCTTTTTCTTAACATTTGCATAATTCCAATGAGTTTTTAGCTGCCTGAGTAAATCTTGTGTGGTCTTATCAAACTATTGCAGTTATCCATTTACGTGGTATGGCTTGCATGTTTTGGGGGAGGGAGGAGGATGTATAGCCTGGTAGGGAGTTTTTAAGATTTATTTAAACCTATAGCAATAGAGAAAGAGATGTTTTTGTAATTGAAATTTTAATCCCAGTTAGGAGACCTTGTATAAGGTTGCAAGTATATACTTTGTTTTCAGGTTATTGCTTGTGAAATTGACCCTAGACTTGTTGGTGAACTTCAGAAGAGAGTCCAGGGCACGTAAGTATCAACAGTGGAAATAGCAGGCGCTTAAAGGAGTGAAGTTGCTTTGGCAAAAACTTGGCCAGCGTGCTTCTCTGAGGGTAACCACAGTGTATTTTCCCCCAGGTGTCTGGCAAACAAACTTGAAATCAAGGTTGGAGATATCCTGAAAACAGACTTACCATTTTTCGATGCATGTGTGGCTAACTTGCCTTACCAGGTATGGGCTAAATAACATGGCAAAGCTTTTTTTCTTTTTGAATGATAATTGTCCAGAAATTGTACTAACACTATTACTTTTTTCTTCAGATTTCTTCACCTTTTGTTTTCAAGTTGCTGCTTCATAGACCTTTTTTCAGGTATGTGGAAGAACAGAGCTTTGTATTACCTGGTAGGGAAAAAAAAAAAGTTTTAAAAATATTCCCAAATTTTTTTTTTTTTTTTTTTTAATTCTTAAAATATCTGTTTGATGGGTTGGAGCCACACCACAATTTTTCTGTAATATGAAACCTGCCAGAGCCTGGAAATTAGTTTACGTCAATGTGTTAAGCATGAGGAGAAAATTTACTGTTGGCACCAGTGAATGTCCAGCTGGTGAAAACAAGAGTTGCACCTCTTTATTGCTTGTATTATAACTAATGGTTATTTGAGGGATAAGTAGAGCATTGTAGCATTTCAGATGCCTTCCTACCTGAGAAAGGAAGGGTGGAAAGGGTAGGATCAATGCCAAGGCACTTGCTGTTGTCTGCTCTAAAAATAGAGCTGCCTAGGTACTTCTGTGTGTTATTCAATGTGCCAGTAGTTCTTAATTTCTTTTACTGAAGCGCTAATGTCAGTGACATTACTGGTCAGTTTTTGGAGCTAAAGAGTTTGGATTTGAAGGACTCTTAGAATTAGTCAGAATAATTTGTTACAGTCAGGCACAAAACTCTGAGACTAGCCTCTCTTTCTTTGATCCTGACCCATTTAGCAGTATAAGGAATCAAACTCTGTTGTAGCTTTAAGGAGATTTAGATGGTTTCACTGAGTTTTGTGGGTGGGTTGTTGTTTTTTTTTTTTTACACACTGGTCAGAGTTTGTTTATGACAAACTTTTATCAGTTCTAAGCACTGAGGCAAATCCTGTGTTCTCCAAGTGTGTTGGCTTTTGATGTAGGAGTTGATTACTTATAATTCATTTTGTCATTTATGTTATTCTCAGGTGTGCAATACTTATGTTTCAAAGGGAATTTGCCCTTCGTTTGGTTGCAAAGCCAGGAACTAAACTATACTGCAGGCTCTCCATTAATACTCAGTTATTAGCTCGAGTGGACCATCTGATGAAGGTACGTCGTTCTGCATTAGCTGACAGAGCTGTCAGAGACAGAAGAACATTTCTTGGAATGTGAGGATTTGCTGCTTGTTCATACTGCTGTCTAACTTGTCCTGACTAACAGGTTGGAAAGAACAACTTCAAGCCTCCTCCCAAAGTTGAATCCAGCGTTGTCAGAATAGAGCCAAAGAACCCACCGCCACCTATCAACTTCCAGGTGAGCATCCTATACACTAATAACAACTTAAACATACTAGCCATAATACTTAATTTCATTTTTCTTTTCTCAGTTCTATGTGCTGTTTTCACTACTGAGCACCAGCTATTCATTGATATTTACATAATTCCAAAATACTTATTCCTGTATTGATCTGCCTTGCATTAGGAAGTTACCTGAACATGCCACCACCAATGAGGGTGCAACTTTGTTTAAAGTATTTCTGATAAGACTGAGGTACCATCTCCATGTCAGGTGGAGAGTTGCTAGTAATAATGTCCCTTTCGTCGTGGATTGTATCTCCCAGAGACCGTTCTGGCTGATGACTTTGTTGGTTATGATCAAAGGAGTATCTGTGAGAAGTCATACATCTTCAGATGCTTGTGTATCATCTCAGAAGACAGATGTTACGGGATTGTATTCTTAAAGTTAATCTTTAAAACATTTTGATCTTCGAGAACATTTCAGCTTTGCCTAAGGTTAGCTCGATTTTCTTCAAGTACCTGCCTTCTCAGCACATAAAATCTGTCCAATAGTGCCTAGGCACAAAAAAGAACAATTCACTGTTTTTTGTGGGTGAAGTATTTTCTCCTCCATTTGTAATCCTTTGTGCAACACAGGACTGGTTTTGTATTGTTTAGAAAGATACTTTCCTGAAAGATTTTTCTTTGTGTTCAATATTATTGTGAAATTGTCAGTAGTGACTGTTCATTTTGTAGTAGCTGTGTGTTTGTTTCTGTAAATTCTAAAACTTTTAATTTCAGGAGTGGGATGGTCTGGTAAGGATAGCCTTTGTCAGGAAAAACAAGACACTCTCCGCAGCATTTAAGTAAGTAATTCTATTAAAGGAAATATTTTCAAAGTTTAAGAGACCATCCAGTTAACCACTTCTTTTGCACAAATGCATAACAGTGTTATATGCATGCCAGTACAGTCTAGGATGAACTATGATAGAGGATTTATGGTGCGGTCACAACTTCTTTATTTTAGAAGAAAACTAGCCAGTTGTTTAAAAACAACAACTCTGTGTAGTCATTACAGTTTCCTATAGTAAAGATGAACAAGCAGTCAAGTCAAAAAACCTAGTGAAAGCTCAGTGTTCATTCTGAACTTGTATTTTTTTCAGGTCAAGTGCTGTAGAACAGTTGCTGGATCATAATTACCGAATTCATTGTTCCTTACATAATACAGTAAGTTCCTTTTTAATATACGAAATCCTATTTCTGGGTACTGTGACCTACATACTGACTTCTGTAAGAGTGAAAAATTAACATTGAAAAGCTTAATATGTGAAAATATTTATGAGAGTTTGAGGGAGGAAGGAACTTCCCTCTTTTCTCAGAGAAAAAGGTAAAAGCGTTACTAAGTTATATTGATAAAGCTGAATATGTTCGTAATATATTGACGGTACACGTTGCAAGGACTTCTACTAATAAGGATCTAATAGAACTTTTTGCATCTGCTTAGCAATACTGTTGTGATTCATTTACAGTGAATGAGCTGAGGTACAAAGAATCAGGGAAAGGAATAGAAGAATACAGTAATCCATACAAGACAAAAGACAACTTATTTTCTATCACTTGAAACAATAACTATTCTAAAAGCAGGAAAAGAATAAATGATTTAAATAAACCTTTTTCTATGTTACGAATAGAAAATTAATTTGTATCCTATTTTCCATTGACAGGAAATACCTGAAAACTTCAAAATCGCAGAGAAAATACAGACAGTCCTAAAAAATACAGGTTACTCTGAAAAACGAGCCCGTTCCATGGATATAGATGATTTCATTAGGTATTTTTTTTTTCTCCTTATGCCTTCCTTTTAAGCTTCTTCAGATTCTATCTGCATCTCTACCTGTGCAGCACAGATTAGTGTTGGGTTACACAGGAATAGTTCTGTGTTTTCCTCTCAAAACCAGGCACACCTTGCTTCTAATACTGAACATAGTGAACACTTAAACCCTATATACATTTTAACTGCTGCTTACAGTACTGAGAAGCAGCTAGCTACAGATCCCTTTTCTGGTATTTCTCCCCTCTAAAAGTGGTTTTAATAATGACATTGGCTATTATAATTTCCCTGGAGACTTACACAGCCCTTCTCTGCCTGTCTTGTACATTAGGCTGTAGTCTATAGTTTAATCTGGAAATTTGAGTAATTGATATATTCTGGTTTTATTACTGGTCAGTTAATTTAAGTGGCAATGTGAATCCTTTCCTAATTTAAGATAAAAAATCTAGCTGTTTCTCAGTGTGACAATTAATACAGTTGCTGTTCTTCAGAGAAACATAGTAAACCTGTTAGGATGCAATATAACTAACTGCGCTGAAAATATACCTGCATCTCTAAAATGGCAAATTTGCTAATAACTTGTAGTTTAGGATTTGTAACAATCCTTTCCCGCAGTTGAACAGCACTGTCTGGTTTTATGCTATTTTCCTATGTTCTCTGCCAGCCAGGATGTCTCAGAAATGCCTTAAACTAAAGTGCAAATTAGTAAAAATTGTAACATAAATATTTCACTCTTTCAGACTGCTGCATGGCTTCAATTCAGAAGGCATTCATTTCTCATAGATTCTACTAGAAGAATGAAAGGTGTTCTGTATTTTGTCACGAAAGACTAACCTAAGCCAGAGTGACTGCAATGGAACAAGCTCTTCTCACAAAAGCAGTGAACAGAATGCAGTTACACTCTGGTTCTTAATGAAACTTTACATGAAATTTTGTCACAGAGAGTAGGCAAGAAGCTGCTGCTTTGTATTTTAAAAGTGATAAATTCTTTCACAACTGATTGGAGATGCTGGGCTTCCATGTGACAGTGTATTTTCAAATATACCCAATAACATGGATTGTTGCGTCCATAATTTAAATCTTTGTTCTCTGATCATGAACTTCATCTTAGTATATTCTCACACAATACTCAACTACTTCACCCTTCAAGGCAAGGAGGAGTTTTAGCATAGATCAAAGCTTTCAGTGAGTGTTACAGCACTGTGTGCCTGTGTCGTGACAGAAAGACTTACTGAAGTGTCTTAATATAGTTTGAATTATATATATTTGTGATTAAGAACAAGGCAGTTTTCCCAAGAGGATTTTCATTAACTCTGCATAGCAGCTGTGAAAAGAAAAATAAATCCACTGCGATGTATCTTCTGATTCAGGAAAACAACAACTCTTAACCCTGTAGAATCATGCAGAGTGTTGAAGGCATGACTCTATTAACTATCCTCCGTCATTTTTTCATGTATAGCATATCTCTTTCTATAAGACCACAGCAAATGGAGATAATGGCAAATTAGCAAAAACAACTCTAAGATGCAACTTAATTTTATACACATCCAAAGTCAGTTCTTTAAAAGTCACTGATTCAGAAGCATGTACAGAAATGTGCACTTGAATTTGAAGGCGTCCTGAGAGGTTGTCTTGGAAGAGCGGATTGCTTGTTTATTTTATAATTTAATGATTCTAGTGCTGCATCACTGTGTATAGAACCAGTTTATGAGTGAGGTAAACAGCCACAGCAATATGCTCAGACTAATACAGAAGGAAGAAGTGCTGGAGATTGGTGTCACACTTCCTAAATGCTTTTGTTTTACCAGACAGAAATAGAAGCTTGTATGAGTCCTGTTCAAATAAATCCAGTCCACCATAGCAATAGGTGTGCTGGTAGGGAGGGGGCTACAGCGGTGGCCCCTGTGAGAAGCTTCTCAAAGCTCCTCCCTGGCTCCAGGTTGGACCTGCCTTTCGGCAGGGCTGAGCCTATCAGCTGTGCCTCTGCAATAACATATTTAAGAAGGGGAACCTGGGAGGGGGTTGGGACTTGTGAGCAGGAGTTGTAAGGAGGACACCTGTGCAAAGAACCAGGTCAGTGGAAGGAAGAAGGAGGAGGGATGGGGGGGTGCACTGGAGCAGAGACCCCTGTATCCTGGAGTGTGACAGCAGGGCTGTCCCCCCCCCCCCCAACACCCATGGAAGTCACTGGAGGAGCAGAGACCAACCTGAAATCTGTGGAGGACTGCATGCTGGAGCATGTAGTCGTGCATAAAGGAGGCCGGGACTGTCAGGGAAGAAGCAGCCCCCACAGTTGTAGCTCTGCACTGGGAGGACTGCAGCAGGCAGGGGTGGCCCATGCTGGGGCAGCGTGGGAATGGCTGCAGCCCGTGGGGAGGACGCACTCCAGAGGTTCATGGAGGACTGTTGTGTGAGAGGGGGGCCACACTGAGCAGGGAAAGAATATGAGTGACCCCACCCCAGAGAAGGAAGAAGTGGCAGGACTGACCAGAACCCCCATCCTCTGCCCCCTGCACTGCTGGTGGAGAGGCAGAGAAAGCAGCAGAGCTGAGCCTGGGAAGAAGCGGCTGGAGGTGGGGAGGGGGAAGGTATTTTTAAGATGTGGTAATGCTTCTCACTGTCCTCTGTTAAGTGGTGATGGTGTTAGTGTTTGAATTCAAGTGATGTTCCATTTTCTTCCCCTAAGGAGTCTTTTCCCTTCCCCGCCCTGTAATGGGTGAGTTGCCCCATCTCAATTCTGAATTTTGCTTTCTTTTCTCCTTCCCCTTCCTGAGGGGGGAAGCAGTGAGTGGCTGGGTGGTGCTCAGTTGTGCTCTAGGCTCAAGCCAGAACAAGGGGCTACAGGATTTCCAGTGCAGTAGTAACCAGCTCTATCCGTTTATCTTGATTTTCACTGCTTCAGTATCAGTGTAGAGCTGACGTTTAGAGCAGGCTCTGTCACACTGTCTGTCTCTTCACAGTACCCCCACAGTAGACACAATTTCTGTTCGCATGTGCTACCTGATAGGACACAGGACACGTGTAATCTACAAGGCTTAGTAGAAAGCTGCTGAAATCTCACTGCCTGGTCTTCCTGTCCTCTTCAGTACCTCCTGTAAACCACAGCCTGGTTGTGGCTCAAGGCTTGTATGGAGGAAGAGTAGGAAAGCCACTCTTTCTCATTTACGATGTCTCAATCTTCAGAGGCTTTTTAGAAAGTAAGATTTCTCTAGAGAAGCTCCAAAAAAACCCTCTGGTATTGTACGATAACCTGTGCTATCACCTGCTAATAAAAGCTGCTATCTTTTATTTCATTCATTTTTTTCTTTTAACTGTGATGGATGACATTCTGGAACAACAGCTCAGATGTCTGATGTTTCTTCTAAGACTTGCTGCGAAACTAAAGTCAGGGCAGGGCTCTGGGGAACTTCTTCCTACATGACTGATTTGTACAATAGAGTTAACTCCAGAAGTAAACACTCATTCTGAAAACAGAGACCTTTTCAAAAGTGTAACTCCAATATGCTTACAAAGTAAAAACTTCCCAAAGCACAACAGAGCTTTCATAGGCAACATAAATTCTCATCTGTAATTCGTTTAATAGCTTTATTTATTAAACACATTATGTAAAATCTACATTGTTTCAGTTTTCATGTTTACACACAGTAAGATTTTTATTTTTAACCATGATGTGACAACAGCTTCCCATAGCCTACCTTCCTATGGGAGAAACAAACATTAAACACTACAAGAATTCTGGGCTCATTTAACTTTTTTCATTGCCTTCCCCTTTACCTCCCTCCAGGCCTGGCACAAACAAACAGGCTTGTATTCCAAAAGTAATTTTTAAACAGTTCCAAGGGAAAGTCTGCTGATAGGAACTCCTGGAAACAGGGAGAACTCCTAGAGAGGTCTACAATTCACTGGACAAGAAGTTCTTACATGAAAGGTCAGTATTTTTTAGATACTGACTAGCAAAAATAACTTGAGTGCCAGCACCTAAAAAGTGCTGATACCCATGGCGCCATTGGTGAGAACCCAAGTATTTGTGGCATTTCTCTTAGCGCTAGGTAGAGGTATTGTGCAAAAATCCCCAAATGATGCGATTTCACGCCACTTCGCAAGTGCTGGCACTGTACAAAGGGAAAATAGGTTTTAACTACTTTTAAAAGCAACAGAGCTACTCAAACTACCTGCAAACTACGGTTAATGTACATGTTAAGTGTGTCATGCATCAAAAGCCAAATTTTAACAGTATATGAAAGGCCGGTATGTATGTATTTAGCTGGATCCCTGAACTTTGACAGTTATTCTATCCATACACAGAGGTCAGATTGTACCTTTACTCTGACAGCATTATCACACCATACCACATACTGTATATCTGCATTATTCTAGATAGAACTCTCCTCAGGACTTGACATTAATGTATAATAAAGGGTAAGGGTAATGCTTTATTTTGTTGGGGTTTTGTTGTTGGGATTTTTGGTTGTTTGTGGTTTTTTTTTGTTGTTTTGTTTTTGGTTTTTTGTTTGTTTGGGTTTTTTTAATTACAGAGAAAACGCTAGAATTAGACATTAGAATTAGATCCTTTATGGTATCCAGATAAATGTAGATTCCAGATTTTTACAAGAATGGAATGTCCAGCTGTTTGTCTACTAAAACAGCTCTTGCAGTTCCTCTTAAAATGATATGGCACATCCTCTGAAATGAAACTAGCCACCAAAGAAATTAGTCTTAAAGCACATTAAAAATGTACACATACTGAAAGTAATTTATATTGACAAATAAGGAATGTTTATTAAGGCTGTGCTTCAAAAAGAGGATGTTCAGGGTTAAGTAGCCTTCCTCAAGGCACAGAATGGGAAAAGGTTAGCACAGCTGTCTGTAGAGGAGAAGTTATGTACAACCACTAGTGAGGTGTGCATGCACGCAAACACAATTTAAAACAGCACGGATGGTCTTTGTAATAAAACTGAACAGAGTCAGAAGGAAATACTGTGACTCTTTAATGGCCACAGTTTTACTTCATTATTAAAACCATGGCAACTATTCAAAAACTGCATGGTTGTGCTGTCTGGTCTAGAAGCATTTTGTAGACATAGGAGCATTTCACACAAAACTGAAAATGTCAATCAGGTGAATAAAAAAACAGGACATTTCCACAAACATTTCTAACGTTTTTACACTTTCAAGTAGTTGAGTTCTTACAGCCACTGGTTTTTGTAACAAATGTGTGCTACAGCAGTACGGGTTCATGGATTCCTTTAGCAGCGAAGGCTCATTTCAAAGGGCACGTGGCCTTTTCGGGTTGATCTGTTTACTGGCCTGTTCCTCCTCTTGTAGAGCTGCCCGGAAAGATTTCACTTTATCTTTAATGAAAAGGAGAGAATGAGTACTGATGTGCCTGTCTGTGCTCAACATGCATCTTGTAACTAAGCTCTGATGCTCCACATCCCAGCCCTAACACACAAAGAACATTCCTCCACAAAAGTAGCCGACAGTACAAACTACAAGAGGATTGAGATAAGCTTAAATTCAATACTCACCATACAAACAAGTTGCTTAGCAACTCTGTCCCTTCTCAGGTGCTACCCCTGTCTCTAGGCAGAGCAGGTTTGGAAACTGTACCATTGCATTCCCAGCACGTAACCTGTTCACATTTCAATTCTGCTTCTAACTTAGAAAGTATAGGGAGATACACACCACATACATCCTTTTCCTTTCCAGCAACTTCTAAACAATCCTTAGAGGCATACAAAATTGTATTTAGTGTACAATCAGTCATTTCTGTACGTTCTAAACCCTGGCAGAGTAAATTCTACTCCCCCCTGCTTTTCTATGAATGTGAAAAGCATTTGTGATTAATTTTGGAAGTTATTCACTGTAAATAGATAAATGCATCATTCATTTGTTTCATTATAGCTATAACAAGAATGGGAGAAGCCTGAGACAGGAAGTGTGGCATCCTTTCATACTTCTATTCCTGTCCCTCTCCATTCCCCAGAAGTATGCCAAAGAATGGGAAGGAAGAAACCAAAATGGTAGCATGAAAACGTCAGTCCCAGAATGACAGGAATAATAGCTGAAATACTCAGTGACTATTATGTGCCATGAGTGGAACACGGACAATGCTGGGAGAAAGGGTTTTTGACTCAATAGTTCTTCCCTCCTGTAAAGCTATACATGTATTATGCTGCCTGTAAAGATGCAAGGATCTCTTAGACAGCCTTTACCTCCAGTAGCTTGTTTCAAAAGCAGTATCAAGTAAGTTTTCGAACAACAGGGAGTCACCTAAAATGTGTTTTTCCACTGCTGGTGTCTCCAACTGCCTTCTGAAGAGGAAGCAGTCATCCACAACAAGCAAAGGAATGTACCTCCAATTCTTTGCTAAAGTGTACTGCTGCCAGTGCATGCTTACAAGGTAAGTAGGACATCTGATTTACTTGATGTGTTCTTCTAATTTACAGCAGATACACAGATGGAGTAAAAAGTAATATTTTATCTTATGAGATTTCTAATACAGATCAAAAAAACTCCACTCTCACTCCTCAGCCCCCAACTCTACCTTTGAATTTTTACCACTACAGCATCTCTCCTGGAGTCCAAATAGTTACAGAAACTAAAATGAAAAACTCATCTCTATGAGGTACCAAGCTGACAGCCTGATTTTAGACGACAAGTGGAAGTCATATTTGGGCACTTAGCATTATCTGTAGTTTGTTTTTCAACAAAGAGAGGCTCACAAAATTCAGACAGAAAGGCTGCTGAAGAAAAAAGCAAGCTAAAAGCCAAGCTACTCAGAGCTCAATGCTGATCTTAAGCACAGTCTTTAAAATGGCTGCAGGCTCCTCACTACACTACATAATGCTACTAAGGAGAAACTGGGAGATCCTGCTACTTTTTCCTCATTGCATTGCCTTTTTTTTTTGTATAGCTTGTTTGGATTTTCTTTTTCCTTCCTTTATTGTTTTGGAACGAAGGAAAAGAAAAGGAAAGTTGCAGGATCAAATCTGTACTTCCTGGAGGTAAAGAAGAGAATTTTCCTTTCAACTAGGATGAACTGAGCACAGATGTGAACTTGTTCTTAAGCAGCAGAATATATGTTCCCTCCACAGGACACTGCAGGGCAGCATAAGGGGAAAAAAGACCCTAAAACATTACCACACTCTTTTTTTCTCATCATTACTGCAAGGCTCCATAGCATACAAAAATATACTCCTAATAACGCATACAAAAGTGATTAAAACCAATCTACCTCTAAGTTCGGTCAGAATATCAAGTTTTTGCTCTAGAATTGCTTCAAGTTGGGTAGCATAAGAATCCACATCATAGTCTACTACTTCCGTCATCTCAAGAAGAGCTTTCTCATCTTCCAACCATCTAATAGATTCCTAAAGAAAAGTTAAAAAAAAAAAAACCAAACAAACAATTAAACACATTAGCAAAATTTCAAGACAAGTTTCAAGACAAATAGCTGAATTAGACCTTTTCTCAAGATGACCACACTTTACTGTCTAGCCACCTCGGTATAACAGACTTCAACCCTAAAATGAAACCTTATTCTTAATTCAGCAAAATTGAAACCTTATTCGTAATTCAGCAAAATTGTAAGTTTCCTACACTGCTTCTTAATTCCAGTGGTCATACCAGCAACGGATAAACCCCAGCTACCCCAGTTCTCTTCAAATCCAGAACACTAGGAGGCTGTAAAGCTACAAAACTCTGAGAACAGAACTTTGTGTCACAGTTATGTCTCCTTAGGCAGGTATCAAATTTTGAAGTTGGGCTTCAATTTTAAGTATGGGTTGGTTGCCACTGACTATAATCATAGCATCTTTACTACAGTCAAGCAGCCAAGACAATTCTGTCCATAATAAAATCTAGTTTTGAGAGAAGCTGTGTAGAAGAAGAGCTATTTTAAGCTCACTATTGCATAAGCTAACTCCCCATATAAGTAAGAGTATAGTATAGGTTAGTTACAACAGTTTTTAGGGATTTTTGCACTCTGAATATTAAAAAAAAAAAAAACTCAAAAAAAACAAGGGGAAAAAAAAAGAAGTCTTGCAGCAAAGAACATAAACAGAAGCCTAAAGCTTATAGAACTGTGCAAAGCTGTGATCAGGAGAACTGATCCCATTGGAAATGCTTTGATTTTAAAAAATGAAAGCAGCTGACAGTTCTAGGCATGCTGGTCCTGAAATACTGAAATTAAATCTTTCTCTCTGTGTTCAGTAGCCCAAGTAATATTGAAAGCGTAGTCCAAACCGCATGTATGTTTTTTGGCTTTCAGGACAGATGAAGCTCACACTGGAATAGGATTCATCTCATCTAACATAAACTCATATATATACCCAAGACACAAAGGAAGAGCAACACCTCTAGAGCACGAATCAGTCCCTTGACCTTATTTATATATTTTTGTTAGGAAAGGTTGTTTTGTATCAACAGCTTCCAGGAGAAAGTTGACAGAAGACAACTTCTGCCTGGTAAAGCCAGTAGATTTTGTATTGGTGCAGCCAACTTCCACCCACGGCATAAACTAACAAACCATACTGCAAACAAATGGAGCTAAAGCTGGACACATTTCCTTCCAGTGACTGCTGGGAGAAGTAATCTCCAGCAGAAGGCCAGACAGACACGCAGAGGCAGTAACATCTTAAACTAATGCAGCTTGTCTCTCCAGAAGTTGCAAGCATTAGGACACAGCTACACCATACGGCATATGACTCTCACACTTCTGCATGTTTTACTTCAGGGCTAACGTGTCCTAAGAACTGAATCTCTACATCTGTTGTAAAATCTGTTACTTAGCATCCTACTGTATTACAAACACACATCAATGTTCCACAAAGTTAGACATCTAAACTGAGGAGACATGTGTATTCCCCACAGGTTTAATCCTCTTTTAGCAGACCTGACAAACAGCCAGCCTGCCTGAAGTTTATGAACAGAAGCAACTCACATTTCCTTCTGAAAATTAGTAACTCATACTTATTACTACAATTTATTTTGTGAATGTAAAAGGCTCAATGGTGCTGACCAGAATTACCCTGCATGGGCAGTATTCCCTCCCAAGACCTTAACTAATAGCAAGTGAATACCTTTACGTATATGTAAAAATAAAGCAACCAGGCAGTTAGAAATACATGTGTCTCTTCTGGATCTCAGTGTCTCAGAGGGAAATGTCACAAAAGAATACTCCGATGGGATACTTGGAGGGAGTACTGTAGTATCTTAGAGGGAGATGACCAAACAGAAATGGTGCTGATAAAGACATTACTGTTAATTACCAGTTCTGGCATAGGTTTATTGGCATAGGCTAGACAGTGAAATTGAAAATTTCAAGACCAATCTGAAAAAACTCTCTGCATCTAGGAAAAAAAACACTACTGTTACAAAAGGACTACAACAGAAAATATACTGAAAATAGTGAAAACAACAACTCTTCTTACAATGAAGACCGCCTATTTAGGAATGTTTGTTGAGAAGAAAAGGAAAATTCTATTAAATTTCTGGGATATTATAGAAATATGCTTCTCTTTCATCATGAAAACAAAGATTAGTGGTTATGGGATCCGTCCCCATTTGCTACAACAGACTTAGCATAATAAACAATTCAGAAATCTCCAACAGCAGTGGAATGACCAGATGATATCCTATATCTTCAACATGCACTTTCACTAGGAAAACCTGAATTCCTGGACTAGGATAAAACAAAGTAGAGCTCCAACTTTTACCTGGAAGACAGCCCTGTGGCCTTCTACTACTTGTTCTTCCATTTCTACCATTTGTGACACAGCTTCATGGAAAGTAAACAACTGCGGAGAAACTTCCTCTTCCTAAAAACAATAGATAAGCTGGTTAGTCTGGAAAGAACTGTTGCTACAGGAAATATATTGAATGTGAACTATCTCATCACAGAACACAAAGAAATATGCAGAAGGCAGAACCTGTCAAAAATAGAATTTAATACTTCTAACAAGAAAACCTCCAGAAATTAGTGGAGAGGGCAATAAATTCAAAATTTTCACAGAGTTAAATTTAATTAATATTCACTAGAAATTTCCAGCCACTAATCTTAGTGAATACTAGAACACAGAACATTCCACCTTAAAAAAACAAGTTAAAATAGTATGAAGAAGTCACAAGGGAAGAATGCTAATTTCTAGTAGGTTTTAATACCCACAGAAAACTCTGCTTTTCTATCACAGCTTTTTATTATGCATATCACAATAGACAGACAACAATTTAAAAAAAGAAAGACAACAGCAGTTACATTCAATACATTTCAGGAAATCAAAATTAAATTAACACTTTGGGAAAAAAGTGAAATAAATGTAAAGTGAGAAATCTAAAATGTACATATGAATTAATACATTAGAAGAATGCACAACATGTATTTACAAACTGGGGCAAACAGGGCTTCTTTAGAAATTAACAGTTAACAATCAAAGGGGAAAGCACTAGGTAGGCTACAAATACTGTTTTAGCAAGACAGTATAGTTCCTTATAAAATGCCTTTGAAATCTCCTTAAAAACATAATGTAAAGCCTAATTTAATTCACATAAACAATAAAAAAGTATGACACAAAAGAGTATCTGGCTGGAAGGACTGTCCAGTGGAACACTCTAGGAATCACTAGCGTGTTCTTACAAAAGAGAGTCCTGGAAGAAGAGCCAGTTACTCAAGTGAGAAATACAGCAGACGCCATGAAGAGGTGTCTGAGAAGGCAGAGTCTTGCAGAAAGTAAGTTAGGATAGCAAAGATTTTTTTCTTCTATCTTTCATCAGCATTTTCGTAAGTCAAGTTTTAATCCCTCTTGAACATTGAAGGAACCAGGACTAGAGCCAATAATCAACAATGAGGAGAAAATGCCCTTTAGAAGATGCCTCTCAGCTCCCCACTCCTGCAGCCCAGCAAGATATGCTGGGATCATGATGTGACTCTCTCCCAAACAGTGCACTGGGGTTTCACCCCATGAAAATCAGGATGTTGGGAAGAAGAATGATGGGTAGCCACATTTCTAAACGCAGAGGAAGGCAAACTCACTTGACATGAGTGTTGAATGCAGGGAAAATAATGTTCAAATACACAGGAGTGTGAAGTAAAACAGATGAGTGTCCCAGGATACTTCTAATAGCCTAAAACAATATGAAGCTATACTGGAAAAAATGCACACTAAAGAACACCTAAGCCTAGAGCAGACACTCCCCAGACATTAAAAGCCCTAATCAGCAAGGAAAATGAAGACAAGTAAAACATTCTCCTCTCAACCCTTCAAGAAATCTTTTGGGTTTGGGTTCTTTTTTGTATGGGAACGAACATAATACCATAAAGTGAAAAGGTGAAGAGGCATGCTGTATTTACTTAATGATCTTGCTAACAGGCTATAAATACACATGACTCTGGATTTGTTCTGCTGCTATACTCATCGTCATCTTTCCATGTAAAGCTGTAAACCACTCACATTTTGTTCACAAAGGAGTTTGAGATCATCTCTCTGAGGAGAGCTCCCCACACCCCACTGCGGCTCTAAGTCGTCAATCGGATTGGCAGCATGGTGTACAATGGGACGAGTATCTCCTGCAGCACTAGGATCAACCATCAACTCCTTCACCCTACCAGCAGAAAATATTTCATTTGTAAATTATTAACTTCCTGTGCAAGAGTCACAACCAAAAATAAAGCTCTATGGGTTTATACACTATTAATTAATTTAATAAGGATGATGATGTCAACTTCACATATTTAATGAATTTTCAGTGGCAAAAAGATGTTAGTCCAACTCCTAAAAGGCACAGACCATTGAATTTCAACTACATGCAGGTGGAATACAACCCATCTCACAGCAAGAGGCATTTTCTGATTGAAATCTCACTAATTAACAGTTAAGAGGGCAAAAATCTCCAAACCCTCAATATCAACTCCATAACAATGAGTAACATTTGAAAGAAAAGTTCATTCGACACCCTAAACCTGACCATCTTTTTCTGTGCACTCTATTGTGCTTTAAAAAAGCCAATCAGTACCCCACTAGTTGCTACAAGCAAGTCCACCAAGAATTCTGAAGAAATTAATAATTTGCAACCAAGCATCTCATACAATTAATCCTTTAATTAAAATAATTTAAAAGGTGAAAATATCTTATTAAATTGTTAGACTCTTGCAGCATGAAAACAGTTTACAAGATTGATAATGATTCTGTCAAAAAAAAAAAAAAAAAGCCCATTTAAAATCAAGTTTATGAAACAGACACAAAGTCTGCAAGTATAGCAAGTTTTAGAACATATTCTTAGTTTTTTTAAAGGGAAAAATGTTTTTTTCAAGTAGCACTTATTTACTACAATGGAAACTGTTTTTCATTCATCTTCAGAGTAATGAAAAGTTTTTAAAATATATATGCATGAAAATGGGTTTATATTTTTAATTAGAGATATTTAAATTACCCTAAAAACAGACTTGTCGGATTTGGTTCACTAAATGTACAAAGATGACATCACCATTTTTTAAAAAAATGTATGAAGGAAACTAGTAAGCCTGGATACAGAGTAGTGGATGTTTAAGGAGGATGAACAAAATACTGGGAAGATGATTGCAGATCATGCAGAACCATCACCTGCCAAACAAATTATAAACAAACTATGTGACTCAAGGCAAGGGGACTAATGAAAGGTTGGTCTGTAAAATTACATAGCCAAAAAGAAAATTTAAAAATAAAGATTCCACGTATAGAATGAAGTAGACCTGGTGATTGAAGGAGAAAAGTCGTCATACTCATAGGAAGGAGAGAGATCAGAGCGACTGCCACTACCCTGTGAGAAGGGAATGTCCGAAGGACTAATTCCAAATTCCTTTACTCTGCAGCAGCAAAATACAGCAGCAAATTAAAAGAAAATGTTCTCAAACAGTTAAAATGACAACTCTTTGTTTATCATACTTCTTTAACAGATTAACTATAAAATTCTTTTTATATTAAAAACACAAGTGTGCCAACGCATTTAAACCTTCTGCAAATAGTTACACATCACTAACAAAACTTAACAAAAGCAGTGCTGCTGTTTCGCAGGGGTCTTACAATAGCAGTGTTTTCAGAAGAGTAATTCCAGATTTCAGTTTGTGGAGTTCATAAAATTTGCTCTACATTCCATATTCCATTAAATGGCTCCTTTTAAAATACCAAACCACTACACCCACAAGACTTTAAATTCTATGCTGCCCCATCTTACACTGCACACACTTAGGTGTCCAGCAACTAAAAACTAACTGTACTATGAAAATGATCTATTTCTGGAAAAACCTAAAATACTAGACAAAACACATGAAGCAACTTTACAGTGAGAGGCCTTTACTCTATTACAAAGTACAAATTTAACACCAAAGGGAAGAAACAGTTTCAGTGCGACTATTTAATAAAGGTGTCATGGTTTGGGCCTCGTTGGCAGCCAACCACAACACAGCAGCTCTCTCTCCCTTCCCCTCCAGCAATGAGAAGGGACAGAGAGCCAGGCTTGGGGTTCAAGATAGGACTGGGATGGGGAAAAATCACCCTTTATGATCACGAGCAAAAGGCAGACTCGTTAGGGGAAGAAAAAAAGAACATACATTTATTACAGACACTAACAACACATAACAGAGTAGGACAGTGAGAAGCATTGCTACATCTTGAGAACACCTTCCCCCCACCCCTCCCTTCTTCCCGGGCTCAGCTCTGCTCCCGATATCTCTACCTCCTCCCCCAGTGGCGCAGGGGCAGGGAATGGGGGGTGCAGTCAGTGCTGCCACTTCCTTTATCTTCGGTGGGGGGAGTTTCCGGAACTTGTTCCCCCTGATCCATCGTGGTCCCCCTCTCACAGGAGACAGTCCTCCACAAACTTTCTCCGACATGAGTTCCTCCCATGGGCCGCAGCATTCCCCACACTGCTCCGTCATGGGTCACTAACTTCCTCCAACTGGAGTCCCTCCCATGGCTGCAGCCCTTCCCGAGCTGCTCTGGCGTGGGACTCCCCCGCATGCTGCAATCCTCCCAGTGCTGAATTACAGCAGCGGGGCTACCTTTTCCCATGAGACCCCGGCCTTCTTCGGGCACAGAACCTTGATCATGCAAGCAGAAGCCACAGGCCATAAATCAATGTCTGCTCCACCGTAGATCTCCATGGGTGGCAGGAGGGGCCGCCCTGCCGTTTCACCACAGGATACAGGGGGGTCTCTGCTCCGGCACACCTCCCCCCTCCTTTCTTCCTCCGTTCCCCCACTGACCTTGGTGTTCACGCAGCTGCAGCAACTCCTCCTCACAAGTCCCACTGCTCGTCACCACGTCCCTTCCTAAATACGTTATCGCAGAGGCGCAGCTGATGGGCTCAATTTTCCAAACAGAGGTGGAGCTGGCTTGGAGCTGGGGGAGCTTTGAGAAGCTTCTCACAGGGGGCTGTCCCGATAGCCCCCTCCCCTGCCACCAAAAAAACTCCACCATTCACTCAACCCAGGACATTCCACTCCCTCGCCTCAGGGAGTCACATATTTAAGAATTAAGAGATCCAACATTCAGTACAGAAAACAGTATACACGTCAACATCAGAACAAAGAGAAGGCAAAACCAGACTGAAAGGAACTTCCCCACACCCAAATAAAACATAACTGACAAAATACTGAGACACAATACAGAACATCCACCCATAGTCCCTTCACCACACCTGAAAAAAACTTCCCCACACTACAGACATTACAAAGATCATTCCACTAACGGAGTTCAGTCTGTATTTTGCTCATTACCTCTCCCAATTAATATCCTTATCAAATCGCAACCCTCTGCCCCACGTTGGGCGCCAAAAAGCTGTCGTGGTTTAGGCCTGGTTGGCAGCCAACCACAACACAGCAGCTCTCTCTCCCTTCCCCTCCAGCAATGAGAAGGGACAGAGAGCCAGGCTTGGGGTTCGAGATAGGACTGGGATGGGGAAAAAATCCCCCTTTTATGATCACGAGCAAAAGGCAGACTCGTTAGGGGAAGAAAAAAAAGAACATACATTTATTACAGACACTAACAACACATAACAGAGTAGGACAGTGAGAAGCATTGCCACATCTTGAGAACACCTTCCCCCCACCCCTCCCTTCTTCCCGGGCTCAGCTCTGCTCCCGATATCTCTACCTCCTCCCCCAGTGGCGCAGGGGCAGGGAATTGGGGGTGCAGTCAGCGCTGCCACTTCCTGTATCTTCGGTGAGGGGAGTGTCCAGACCTTGTTCCTCCTACTCCATCGTGGTCCCCCTCTCACAGGAGACAGTCCTCCACAAACTTTCTCCGACATGAGTTCCTCCCATGGGCCGCAGCGTTCCCCACACTGCTCCGTCATGGGTCACTAACTTCCTCCAACTGGAGTCCCTCCCACGGCTGCAGCCCTTCCCGAGCTGCTCCGGCGTGGGACACCCCCGCATGCTGCAATCCTCCCAGTGCTGAATTACAGCAGCAGGGCTACCTTTTCCCACGAGACCCCGGCCTTCTTCGGGCACAGAACCTTGATCATGCAAGCAGAAGCCACAGGCCATAAATCAATGTCTGCTCCACCGTAGATCTCCATGGGTGGCAGGGGGGGGCCGCCCTGCCGTCTCACCACAGGATACAGGGGGGTCTCTGCTCCGGCACACCTCCCCCCTCCTTTCTTCCTCCGTTCCCCCACTGACCTTGGTGTTCACGCAGCTGCAGCAACTCCTCCTCACAAGTCCCACTGCTCGTCACCACGTCCCTTCCTAAATATGTTATCGCAGAGGCGCAGCTGATGGGCTCAATTTTCCAAACAGAGGTGGAGCTGGCTTGGAGCTGGGGGAGCTTTGAGAAGCTTCTCACAGGGGGACGCCCTGATAGCCCCCTCCCCTGCCACCAAAAAACACCACCATTCACTCAACCCAGGACAATACTAGAAATAGGTGTTTAATTAGTATCAGTGTGTCTTTTTTCTGGAGTGTCTTCAGCAACATGTATTCCATAAGGGGTAAAAGATCTAGCAATTCTTGATGAACATGCAAGGTCCTTCATTACATTAGTGTAAGCAGGGCAGCAGATGACTCCTCCTCACCAAGGAGGAAATCACACAGACTGGTCCAAGCCAGGCAGACTTGCTACCAGGTGCCTTGATCCAGACACAGAGACATTCAGAGATCAACAGGAGCAGATGGTGAACTTTCCTAGCAGCCCTTTGTGTCCAGTTAGCAGCTGTCCGGGGTGCTCAACCAGGCAGGAGCAGGCACGGTTCTGCTCTGTCTCTCACTGGGGTAAGCAGGCCTCTAGATGGTAGCCTCTTCTGGCAAAACCAGGGTTTCTGATGGCCCAGAGGGCTGTTTGCCTCCTTTGTTCTTTGCAGCAAAGTGTGGCGGGGTCTCTGGGTAGCAAGTCTGACTGCAGGGACACGCAGGAGCCAACCACCCCACCTCCACAGACATTAAATGAAGAAGAACAGCAGCAGGGGAAAGCTCCTTTCACACTCACTGAAGAGAGATGAACACTTTCAGAGAGCCGTACAGGTTTCAGAGGTGCTGCATCAGCCTCTGCAGCTGCTAATTTCGCTGCACTGATTATAAAGTCAACTGTTGGGTTAACCGACTCTTTGCTTAGAGGTCTCAGATATTTGCATCCAGTTGAGAAGTAAAAAGTCACATATATACATATATACACATATATATATATACACACACACACACACATATATATATACACATGAAACAAACTGACATCTGCATGCGATTCCACCAAGCGGGAGGGGAGAGAAGGGTGGAAATCTCACTGCAGAAAGGTATTTCAGCTCACATCCCAGGGAACCATCACAAATACTGACTACCCCTAATGCAAGAGATGGTGCCTCCAGAGGAGGGGCAAAACTAAGTGGCATTTCCCACATTCCTTGCAATCTACATTACCTATCTCTGGATAATGTCTTAAATGCAGCTTCTGTTGATTCTATTGCAATGGTTGTAAAGAGTGCCAATTTACATTCAATGCGAACCTGGATCAGTAATTTGGTTTTAATATTATTAAGAAATGCAAGTACAATAAAATTATTCAAGCAGCTCAAATAATTATACATCATGGAACAACACTATTGCAAACATCAGTGATCAAGAGCAAGTACAGCTATAAGCAGTAACATTTTCCATACCTATTTGCATATCTCAATGTATTTAGAGTGTTTTCACATGATGCCATCCCTGGAGAAATTGTAGCAATCTGGAAAAAGCAAGCCACATGTTAATAAATCACTTTGTACAGATAAAAGGATAAGGATAAATGATTTCAAAGTAACTTTTTTTTTTTTTCATCTCCAGTTTCATTTGAGATCTTCTACGAAAACTGTCTATTATGTACAGCTGTCCTTATATAATCATGTCTCAAGGAAAGAGATGTCAAGTCAAAGCTTCAATTTAATTATTTTAACCACACCATTAAGAATTCACAGGAACATTAAGAATTCATAGAAATTCAGTCAATTTCCCCCATCCCACTGTCTTGGTAACATCACAGGTAAGCGCAAAACTCTTAACTGAAAAAATAAAGACTCCTCAAAAAGGGAAATATGCAACTCAGTAGAAAGTAAATCTAATATATCCTGCAAACAATTATCAGATTTATTTATACATATATATATATATATACACACACACACACATATATATATACACACCGTTGCAGGCTGTTCTCCATTCAAGCAGACTGTATACCGATTTGAGAGACCTAATTTGGCCACAGTCCAAAACTGTACTTAATAATATTAAAGATAAGCATGTATTCAACTATTTTCCTAAGTAAAGATTATTTTTTCTCAATTAGAAGTTATCTGTGAACAATACTCGATAGATAACTTACTATGGTACTCACACATTTAAATGGTAAAAATGTTACGACAACTCTATGAGAGGAGTACCAATTAAATAAAAAAGCTTCAGCAAAATAAAGACAGCTTGTTACCACTTTAAGGAGGTAAAGGTGATGGTCAGAACTTCATGCAATATTCACAATATTCTATGTGCAGAGAGTAATTTCCAACAGGCTACCTTTCCAAACCTCCTTCAGCAGTGTGAATACACTAGCTAGAGATGCACAATTTAGCTTTCTGAACCTGCTTAAGATTGATGAAGTTACAGAATCACAGAATGGTTTGGGGTGAAAGGGACCCTTCAAGGTCATCTAGTCCAAAGCCCCTGCAGTGAACAGGAACATCTTCAAATAGATCGGGTATGTCTCAGTGAGAAAGAAAACAATCCTGTCTTTTCATCAGAGAACTGAAGGAGAAAGAAGATTAATAAAAAAATGCTATTTCACTGCAATTTTCAAATTAGAACCATAACTAACAGCTAAAGGGAAGACTAGGCTGCCCTAACACCCTGGTTTTCATGTTGTGGTCTGCAGACTTCTCTGGCCTCTGGACTAATTAACTAATTAATTCCAAGGAGTCTGTGAAAAGTAACCAACGCAAACAAGCCTTGTAATTGGTGTCCACTGAAGAGAGTATGCATTTCCATAAGGAGAAATGTTAAGGTAACACAAATAAAATGACTGGACATCAGTGCTTTTATCTGCCCTTTTCACCATTTGACAGAAAAATTCTGGTTTTCAGACTGATACAAATGCACTTATATACAACCCACAACTATTCATCTCATCTGTCCCAACCTCCTCCCCCCTCAACAGCCTAGAACATATTCTAATGCCTTTGACACCAACTTTGCATTTGTCTTTGTCATTTAAAGATTGTAACTCACCACTGTACTTCCAGTCTATACGACTTTTTCCAAAATTCTGAGTCTACAAACAATACTCTCATATAATTAAGACATTATTAAAAACAAATAAACCAAAACACTTCTCAAGCAAGAAGTGTTTCTAGCTAGGTGCCTAGCTAGAAAACTAGAACAAGCAATACGAAAGGCAAATAAAAATATGAGAAAGGAGCAACTTATCTGAAATGTCTCTGCCAAAAGTCTCATTCCGCATACAGTGTTAGCTAATGGATAAACTTAAGTCCAACATACTGCCAGTAGCAAGAAACCAATTTTAAACTTTAAAGCCTAAATTCCCAGTGTCTTTTCTTTTTGTAATTGTTAGAACAGTTAACCAAATCAACTTACCATACAGGTACGGGAGTTTTCTCCTATGAATGAATCTCTTAGCACCTGAGTAAGTTTACTTGCTCTGAAGGGTGTATGAGGTTTATTTCGGCCTAAGGCTCTAATGCACTCCTGAAAGACAAACAGGTTTCTGCATTTTTATTTAATGTAGTTTGAATAAATGTAATACAAATGCAATTCAAAACCAGAAAATACATGCCTTATTTATGCTGCCGTCCCCTAAAATATCGTTAATATTTACCACCAAAGTTTGGATTTAAGAAGTGTTAGGTTTTTACCTCATTAAGGCCACTAGAGAAGTAGGAACTTAAACAGGACTTAGGACCCTAAAAGCCTTCTAAATCTCATCTAAAATGTTTACATCTGTTGTATCCAACAACAACAACACAAAGCAAAAAAATCAGTGTTGATGTTAAATGTCCAGACTAGCAATTATTTCCAATTATCAGCTGCAAAAGCCTGAATGATCTACAACCTCCACTGGCAGAAACTGCAGGGACAAGGACATGTGTTAACTCTATCAATTAAAATCAGTAGCTTTGATTCTGGCTCTACCACTGACATTCGTTACAGCTCAGAAAACAAACTTTCAGAAAGCTTCCAAAGGTCACAAACCTAGTAAGCACAGCTCTCTATTGATGTACTCTATATAGGAAGACACTTGAAAACGTAAGTCGTTCCTTCATTTAAAATATTCTTCATGCATAAAACCAGCGATAAAGGTCTCCTCTTTCACTCACAAGGGTGTGGGGCTAAACTAATATTTGCAATTGGTTGGAGAGTTCCAGTGAGAAATGTTGTACAGATGTAAATATTATGAAATTACTATAGAAGTTACAGCAGCAAGTAAGTACAACAGTGCAAACCAAGATTACACTAATCTAAACATCACTTCTAGCCACTCAGAGCTCTAACATAATCTAATAAGTTACTTCTTATGCAAAGTAAATTTAAATTTCTGTGGTGGTGGTGTTATTGTTGTCATATTTTGATCATTATTTTCAGTTTCTGCCTTTGCCTTAATAGTTTTTTTGTACAGGCACCTCTTCAGATGCATCGCTTCCTTGGTACAGTTTTAACATGTCTACACACAGAACTTCAACTGTACTTCAAAAGCTTTTCAAATTAGAGCTTTGCTTTTAGCAGCACTAACAGATGGAGTGGCTTCTGTGTTACATGAATTTTCAACAAGTGACATTAGAAACTAAAATCAGTAACAAATGTGTATATATCGAATTACTGATGTGGCAACCAACAAGTTTAAGGTATTTTAAATTACTATAATGATTTTTAGTTTGCTTACTACTGAAAAATTAAAATCTCCTTATTAGTAAAAAGATTATAGGAAGACACTGCAAGGTTCTACATTAATGGAGTTTTTTAACTACTTTTGCTTTTCATCACAGCTCAGAAAACCAGGCAACAAAATGACAACACTACTTCCATGTAGAGATATTACAGAAATAACCTCCTGTACCAAAATCTTGAACAGGTTAAGACAGGACTGATATCCAGACGCAAACAACAAACCAAAGACCACTCTGCAGAACACACTAGTTTAATCTGAACTTGAAAATAACTTCAAAAGATCTTGAATACAAATGGAAAGAAGTTGCATAATGCTTTGGGAGATAAAAGAAAAACGGAAAACTAACATATCATTGAGAAAATTGTATCTTCTTGTACCACTGCTTAGACCTCAGCAAGATCTCCACTTAGTTTTATTTCTCCTTCTCCACTGTCATGATTTAACCACAGACAGCAGCTAAGTACCACATAGCTGCCTGCTTACTTCTGCTCCCTCCCATGGGGATGGGGAGGAGAACTAGAAAAAAGTAAAGCTGGTGGGTTAAGATAAGAACGGTTTAATCATAGAACGATCTGGGTTGGAAGGGACTTTAAAGACCATCCAGCTCCAATCCCCCTGCCATGGGCAGGGACACCTTCCACCAGACCAGGGTGCTCCCAGCCCCGTCCAGCCTGGCCTTGAACCCTTCCAGGGAGGGGGCAGCCACAGCTGCTCTGGGCACCCTGGGCCAGTGCCTCACCACCCTCACAGGAAGAATTTCTTCCTTAGATCTAATCTAAATCTGCCCTCTTTCAGTTTAAAGCCATTCCCCCTCATCCTATCACTACACCCCCAGATAAAGAGTCCCTCCCCATCTTTCCTGTACCCCCTTTAAGCACTGGAAGGCCGCTCTAGGGGCTCCCCAGAGCCTTCTCTTCTCCAGGCTGAACAGCCCCAACTCTCTCAGCCTGGCCTCACAGGGGAGATGCTCCAGCCTCCTGATGATCTTAATGGACTCCTCTGGACCCACTCCAACAGGTCCATGTCCTTCTTATGTTCTGGGCCCCAGAGCTGGACACAGTACTGCAGGGGGGGTCTCACATGAGCAGAGCAGAGGGGTAGAATCTCCTCCCTCGACCTGCTGGCCACACTGCTCTTCATGCATCCCAGGACACTGTTGGCTGTCTGGGCTGTGAGTGCACATTGCTGGATCACAGTCAGTTTTGCCCCCACTATAACTCCCAAGTTCTCCTCCATAGGGCTGCTCTCAACCCACTCATTGCCCAGCCTGTATTTGTGCTTCGAGTTGACCTGACCCAGCTGCAGGACTGTGCACTTGGCCTTGTTGAACTTTATGAGTTTTGCACAGGCCCACCTCTCAAGCCTGTCAAGGTCCCTCTGGATGACAACATTTCCCTAATAACTAAAATGAAATAAAATATAGTTGCAATGAAAAGAAATATAATAAGAGAGAGAAAATAAAACCCAAGCAAAGACAAGTGATGCACAGTGCAGTTGCTCACCACCCGCTGACCGATGCCCGAGCAGCGATGCGCCCCCCAGCCAGCTGCCCCCAGTTCATACACTGAGCATGATGTTCTGTGGTATGGAATAAATATCCCTTGGGCTCGTTCGGGTCAGCTGCCCCGGCCGTGCTCCCTCCCAGCTCCCTGTGCACCTCCTCGCTGGCACAGCAGGGAAGCTGAAACGTCCTTAACTTAGGGTAAGAGCTACATAGCAACAGGTCAGTGTTCACCAACATGATTCTCACACTAAATCCAAAACACAGCAGCTACTAGGAAGAAAATTAACTTAATCCCAGCTGAAATCAGGACACCCATATAATTTAATCACAACAACTAGTTGGGAAGCAGCAGAACCTCTCAATATAATTAAAAAGACAAGTTGTATGAAAATGAACTAAGTATGTTGTATGGCTGTTGCACTGAAGGCACTAGCTGGTACAAAAGTCAACAAGCAAACTGAAAACAAAAAGAAAGAAAAAAAGAAAAAAACAAGAACAAAACAGCTTTATTCAGTTACATTTGAAACAAATGATAATGTCAATGCAGTGTTACCCACATTATTTACTTTGATGCTAAATCAAACAGGACACAGTTTTGGAACTGCTGCTTGCAATTTTTCAACATGCCATACAGTCTTGTAATGACATGTTGTAAGTTACAATTTTGTGGTGTTTTGTGAGATCTGCTTATAGTCAGATAAAAGTCTTCTCCCAAGTTTATACTGGAGATAAAAAAGTAAGCACAGTGATTTTGCGGTTCAGATTCTTTTATATAAAACCACAGTGCTGGTTCTGATAACAGTAAACCTAAGCTAAACTAACCAATAACAGAGGCAAGTTCTGAGAGATTCAAAACTACTGCTTCCCCCGTTAAGACCAAAAAATTACTTTTCCTCCTTAGACTGAACCTCTTCCAAGAATTATAAAACAAAGAAAAAAGGGCATATGAATATTTAAATAATATTCTTTAACTCTCTTGATGTGTCCTGGATTAATGTATGAAAATCTGTGCCGCGATTTAAACCCAGATGGCAGCCAAACACCATGTAGCTGCTTGCTCACCTTCCCTGGCCCTGGGGGCTAAGGGAGAGAATTGGAGGGTAGAGGTAAGGAGACTCATAAATCCAGATGAAAACAATTTTAATAACTGAAATAAAATAAAATTTAAATAATAATGGTAATAATAGCAGTAAGAGAACATACAAAGGGGCAATGCACAATGCAACTGATCACCACCCACCTATTGATGCCCAGGCCATTCCCAGGTAACAGTGCTGGAGGGTAGAATCTCACAGAAGAGAGCCCCCCCCACTTTCCTGGTCCACCCTCCTCTATGTACTGAGTGTATTGTCATATGTTACAGACTATTCCAGTGGCCAATTTGGGTCCACTGCTCTGGCTGTGCTCCCTCCCTGCTTCTTGTGCACTTACACACAGGCAGGACACGGGGATTTGGAAAGTCCTTGATTTCGTAGGAACAACTAAAACTATCAGTGGATCATCAACGTTCTTCTCATACCAAATCCCATCCTGAATTCAAAACACAGCACTATTCTAGCTACTAAGAAGAAAAATCAGCTCTGTTCCTGACAAAACCAGGACAATCTGTAAAGTGACTGTATCAGGCAATTTGCTATAAAGAAGAGTAGTCAAAAATAGATTCCAACTTTCAAAGGTTATTTTAATCTATTTGTTAGTTCTTTCTGGATATGTTGCTGTTGTGTTGCTTTATGGAATTAATTAACAGCGGTAAATAAAGATAATTTTATTTTTTATCAAAAAACAAAACAAAAAAAGAAATACTGAGATCAGTAAGAGTTTTTCCATTTCGTAGTTCAGACCTTAAATACCCAAGTAATCTGTCCTCCCATTTTAGATATAGATCAGAAAAGTCTTCAAATTCAACCACTGAGAACTTTTAGTTGAAGTTTGGGATTTTTTTTTTTTAAATACATGCTGGTTGATAGCACAATGTTTCTGCACTTGGTAATTACCAAGTGTTCCTTCAGGCATTTAGAGGAAAAATCAATACATTATTTTACCTGTCACATCAAGAGACAATGTAGACAAAGCAAAGCTTGCAAAAACACTCGTTTTAATAGTCATTGCTATTATATGTAGAAGGCTTCCACCTCCTCAAAGGCAATGGAAACATTTCAGTTACCTTGAGTGCTAAAAGGCTCTTGTTAATTTCCGCACCTTCCAGTCGTGTCTGCCTATCTGCACTGGAAGTATCTGCTCCTCTTTCATTGCCAGCCAAATCAATCAGAGAAAATTTACCATGCAATTTCCCTTTCCGTCTGAGAATAATCTGAAACACTGCATGGCTTCGAGATGAGTGTGCATTTGCAGATGTCTGGCCAGATGTCCTTTAAACAAAAGGAGAGAAGGGAAGGACATATGAACAGCCAAAGGACCATACATGTTAATCACACCAACTTCAGAACACTGTTTTTTTCAGGGTAGAATCCTGTATTTTCTTACATGTGATGACAGTATAGCTAATGTTCTTGTGGACACTAGAGAAATAATCCTAATAACTGCATGTACATAGCTCAATTATACCTCTTTTTTCCATCTCTTCAAGGAGGTATGGAAGATTAGTAACATTCTTCCTCCCCTTTAAAACCAAGAATAATCAAAGCTTCAAATATTTCAGATTATCAGAGTTTACATGTAAAATGCTGATGGCATTTTTATCTGATCAGGCAATAGTCTATGCACTAGGCTAATTTTAAAATCAATGAAGCTGGATTCTTAAAAAAATTACACTTAACCTCTGTCACTACATACGAAAGCCTTTTAGAGCTGAAGAATCAGGCAGTATTCCAGATTATAAATTACGTGAATTACAGTCAGTAAACTGCTTACATAATGCGTGCAGTTCGCATCCTGTAGAAAAATCAGTTATTTCTCTCTAGGAGACAGAAAAACTCTACATATCTTTATTTAAAAGGTAGGCAGATTATTCACTTGCAGCCAACATCATCAAAAAAAGCACTGCATATTGAAATGCCAACAATAAGAAGTGACAAAAAAAAAAAATCTTGTTCTGATTCTTTAGTGTACAATGAAAGACTGGTGTAAGCTATGGGAGATACCTGCAGCTGTTGCCTATTTCAATAAGCTTAAGAACATCTTCAACACATTTGACTTCCCGTTCCTGTAATCCCACCACCTGGACTTGCTGTTTACCATCTTCTAACACTCTTAATTTTGTCTTCCTGTTCAACAAGTCAAAAACCTTAGGGAGGGGGAGAAAACAGAACAGTTAAAGAGGAGCTTTAAAAGACACTTTTGTTTCAAATCCTGTATCAAAATATGCAATGCACTCCATGGAAAAACAGGACTAGTAGGGAAGTGTAAAGAATTATTTGAAATAAAGCTTTTAGTACAAAGAGGAAAAGAAATCTTGTGTGTCAAGCTCAAAATCTTGCTTGTGAAAGAAATTCCCCCTTCCTCAGAGCAAAATCAGGTACTTACCTTACCACTGTAGATCTCAAAAAACGTTGCATATACTTGAAGTTCTAACTTCTTGTAGTTTGGTTTCTTTAGCATTAAAAAGACATCTCGAGCTATGAACACATTTCCAGAATAAAAAGAAATCATTATGTATTTTCATTTATTGAAGATTCATTAATGCACAACAGTATTTTACAGCATCTCTCATTTTTAACAAGTATAACAGATAGGGTCAGTCAACCAAGTCTAAAACATTGCAGTTTAAAGTGTCATATTACACCCAAAGATGCAGAAGACCCCAAAATTATAAACTTAATTAATCCTCCATTATATTTATTACATTTTTTTGAAGTAATCTGTATATACATTTACTTTACTGTGTAAAAACTACACATCTAGGAACTACTTTTGATGTTACCAAAGCTCCACTGTAATGAAAAATACATAGACCCTGATGTTTGTACAACAAGAAGCAGAAAATTTATTGATTTCAACTAATCTGCAAAAATCCAACGGACCAACAAAGTCTCACCTGCAAGTGCATATATTCCTTTAGAACAATCTTGGTTCCTTCCTGAAAAGTCACCACCCATAGTCTAAATTAAAAAAAAAAAAACAAAACACACACTATAAAAATCACAGAACTGTAACTTTCGTATTTGTTACTTATTAGAACTTATCTAAGTGTATTACACATAGAAAGAATTGTATTGCTGACATGTAGAACAAATACTTACGTGTGTTTTTCCACTGCCTGTTTGCCCATATGCAAAACAAGTGGCCATTCCCCTTTCAAATATAGTCTCTACTAATGGTCGAGCTGTAAACCTTAAATGCAAAAAAACAACATTACTTAAAACACTGAATTACTTTAAGGTGCCACCATCACAGGGATGTTATAAATTTTAAGGCCAGAAGTGACAAAACTACTCCTGTACTTTGAGAGACCCAACAACATCTCTACATTAACTCCTGAACTAAAGAGATTACCAGCTTTAAGGCATTAAAATATCCCAAACAATCAAATAAAAGCTACAAAGTCTCCCCCATTTATTCTGCAACAGTATTAGCCTCCTTTAAAACCTGAGAAAAAAAATAATCCTTAATTTAATGGAAAAAGCACAGCTTATTACATGGAGATTGGAGTTCCCTAAAGAAGACAGAATTAGAAGACATTGAAGTAGGACAGTGGAGCAGATAAATATTTAGGTTTTGCCAATACTAAAATTCTGATATAGTTTTGGGTTTGGTTTTTGTCCTCCCCCAAATCAGCTTCCAAGATTAAATTTAGAAGTGGCCTAAACAGCCCTGCACATCTTAATATTTTGAGAACATACATACACTGAGAAAAGGCTCAAGAAAATGAATACCCAGGCTCTTCAAAATGGAAAAATCTAGTTAGCCCTGAATAATTATATGATGTGTCAAAAAAATATTTTTAAAGGTATTGTTTTTCTATTTTATTCATTTTTACTTTAAAAATCATAAAATTATTGTCCCTACTTCAGCTGTTTATCACCATTATTTCGTTAAAAACTCCAAAAGCAAAGGGCAAATTAATGGAGGGTTACCAATGGATGCAAGAGTCTCTCTGCAAAAGTCTCTCTTTCTAAACTTTCTCCAGATGTTTACATACATAGTACCTTTAAGTGACAGAAACAGGAACAATTGTTTACAGAAACACAGAGATGTTACATCTTTCTTTCATTCTACTTTTGAACAAACACAAGATCACTTACAAAAATAATATAGGCAAGACTGAGCCATTCAGCAACGAAGGGTTATGCAAAAATGTAAGTTTAACTGACTCATGAATTTTCATCAAAAATATACCATGATTCCTGATCTGCCTTAGATTTTCTTTTTTGCTTCTTCTAAATATATGCTTCCTTTATTCTCAAGAGCATATTCCCATATTTTGATGTTTGTTCTTTTTATATATAAAATACAAAATTTCACAAAGCCTATCCACCTAAGCAGTACACTCCATTATCTGTTTAACTGAGTTTGAGATGCTTTATTTTGATTTATAAAAAAGGGAATTAAGTATCTATTTTAGAGTGAGGCAAAATACAAACATATCTAGGAAAGTCTTCGTAAAGCATTATACAACTCTAAATGGTACCATCCCAAAACAATCCAACTTTACTTTTACTAGAACCTTGATTTGCAGTCTTGATCTTTCAGAAATGTAAACTCTGGTTCTCCTTTAAAACTCAAGTCATACCCATTCAAACTAGTGCATGCTTTTTGATATTAATGAAAAACTGCACCTCAGTGTTGTGGTTTATGGATTAAAAAATATTTAAAATGCAGGTTAATAATAATAATAATAATAATAATAATAATAACAACAACAACAACAACAACAACAACAACAACAACAATAATAATAAAACTTCTCCCTCAAACTGAAGAACATTTTTCAGTATAGAAATACAGCAAGTAATTTTAGCATATTGGAGAAAGCTGAATCAAAATTACACTATTTTTTTCACTACTGTAACCCTAAAGTTCTGGTGAGAACAGATGATGATAGCTGTCTTGCTCTTACTTCTGTTATTACAGGAGGCCTTGAAGCAGATTTCCCTTTAAGTAATAATCATTATTGTGCCATACGAGAGAGAAGAAGAAAGCCTGAACTGCTACACAGACTAGAGATTCACCATTTCAGTATACATAAAATCCCTTTCCAAGATTTGCCTGTATTATGTAACTATAAAAACTGTCTGGAGAAAACTCAATACAAAAACACAACAACACTGTATGCCAAAAACATCCCTCACATTTAAACACTGTGCTCACAAATAGCAGGAATGGTTCAAGAATGGGAAGGAGGGAGATGAGAAGAACTCATCGTTAAGCAGAACTACTGCAAGAAGCACACATCACCTGCTAGATCACTCTCCTGCAACTCTTCACTATCAAGAAAGGGAAGATGGTACCAGTAGACAACCATTAAAGACAGAAATCTCCAAGTGTACCGCTTTGCCGTTTAGAAGTCTGTTGTTAGTGTAAACCCACAGCCTATGCAGATTTTCCTTTTGCCATCCTTCTCCTCCTAATTATATCAAGCATAATACACAAGTTTTATTCTTCAAGGCGTTTTAATAATTTTTTTATTATGAATTTTCTGTTATCTACAGACAGGATGTTGACATTCAACATCAATCGGGACACAATCCTACCTTTCGCTTCTTAGTTGGTGGATTAAATTTCTCTGTCACTACTCATTAAGGTTACATGAATCCCTTTCCGAGTATAAGGAAAATTATCTTACATTATTTTCTAGTATCAGTATTTCTTGCAAAATGCTTTACAGTATTTAGACTGTATACAAAGATTATGACCTGGCATGGTGTCTAACCTTGCCTGCTACTCCATCTACTCCATTTAGTGACTTATACAAGGTAAATAGCTGCCTCTAAATGTGTTTTTAGAGGCACTGTGTGCATTATTCTGTGCCTGCTGTGGAAGTGAAACAGAAGAATAAGGGAGAAACTGGAGATCCAAATACCTTGGAGCTGAAAGTGGATGTGTGTCGTCTTTGTTGCTGCTGTTTTCAAATCAGAAAGATTCAGCTTTCTGAGCAAGGTAACTTAGCTCCATGCACCTCCATGTTACCTCAGCCAGATTGCTTCTAGCAGCCAAGCTAGCTCAGGTATCTCAGCAACACAGCAAGACAACCTCTCTCACTTTCTTTGTATTATTTCCGCACCCCTTCCTGCTTTCTTTCCATCTCTTAATTATCTTACATTCAAACTCGAGCTCTTTGGGGCTGGGGCTGTCCTCCAAGTTCCATAAAGACCAAAAGCAATGACTGATTCCTCAGGTGCTGTACACACACTAATAAGACAACAATCCTGAGGCAAACGGAGAGGTCATGAAGTCGTTCAAATATTCAGCTGCTGACCAGGCAGGCAATACATGCTAGAGCCTGGAAACCAGCAGGGCTTGGTGGAAGACTGAGGTCAGAGGTGATGACATTGAAGGTGAAGAATTCAGGATAAAGAGTTAAAACAAAAGTAAACAAGCAAAAGAATGGAGGTAGCAATATACATATCTGATAACAGACAGAATAGGAATAAAACCCATGACCAAAGCAAGCTCAGTTATTGACACAGGAGATACATAAGATAAAAGGTTAGCAAAAAAAAAAAGCATATAAACATACCTGTAAACCATTTCATTAGGAGCCGTGTCATCAAAGGCGTAATCAAAACGAAAAGTTTGGTTTTCTAGGTACCTTGTTAAATCCACCTTTTGTTTTGGTTCGTGTACCATCACAACATCTTTACTAGGAATTGTTATTACATCAAGGTCTTTCATTAAAGTTTCTATAAAATAAGTAAAATACATATTTAACTAGCAACACATAGTTATCTTCTACATTTTTTCATTGTTTACACTCCTAACATCTCAGATAATACAGCTCCTCCAAGTAACAACACTGCAATGGATCTGGGCTTCTGATGCCTAGATAGCAGTGTAAGAGATTTCATTTTGGAAGTCTAGTCATCCTATCCTACCATTTGCCAGAAATTAGAGAGGTTGTACAAAGCTGCTTGATAAAAATAAGATCATTAATTATTGCATTATCATTGTAGCTTGTTATGTATTCTATAACAACACTTTCCATGGATTTGAGTTCTTTTTTCCTCAGGGCTCCTATACTATTTTACAGATCACTGCCATATCCTTTGAGTTTTCATAAATAACTTCTCTGCTGAAGAAACCTGACACTGAAAGTACTATACTACTCAACTGTCAAACTTGAAAACACAAAGAAATTAATATCCTTATGATAATCAGCTTTGTTTTAAAATGTTATCTTTTTATTTTCCCTAAATCCTTAACATTATATTCGTATGTTCACAGCTTTCAATTCTGATTTCATTCTACACAGACATTTTCATTTCTGTATTCCTCCTGGAACCTAAAGTATACATCTTTAATACAGAATTTCTCTGAAGTATAATCCTTTCTAAAAATTACCTTTCAGGCAGAAAAAGCTGAAAATGCTAGTGATCCCTCTTATCACTGGGAATGAACAAAAAACCTATTGTCCTGGTTCCAGCTGGGATAGAATTTATTTTCTTCCTCATAGCTGGTACAGTGCTGTGTTTTGGATTTAGTGTGAGAATCATGTTGGTAACACACTGATGTTTAGCTGCTGCTAAATAGCTCTTACCCTAAGTTAAGGACGTTTCAGCTTCCCTGCTGTGCCAGCGAGGAGGTGCACAGGGAGCTGGGAGGGAGCACGGCCAGGGCAGCTGACCCGAACTAGCCCAAGGGATATTTACTCCATACCACAGAACATCATGCTCAGTGTATGAACTGGGGGCAGCTGGCTGGGGGGCGCATCGCTGCTCGGGCATCGGTCAGCGGGTGGTGAGCAACTGCACTGTGCATCACTTGTCTTTTCTCTCTCTTTGTTATATTCCTTTTCACTACAATTTTATTATTATATTTTTATTATTATTGTTTTATTTCATTATGAAACCATCCTTATCTCAGTAAGTTTTACTTTTTTTTTTTTTTTTTCCTTCTCAATTTTCCTCTCCATCCCACTGAGAAAGGGGAGAAGTGAGCAAGCAGCTATGTGGTGCTCAGTTGCTGGCCAGGGTTAAACCACAAAAACCATCTAGACATCATTTCAGCAGTGAGATCCCAGGTTATAATTACTACACAGCACTACCATTTACTGCTAATTGTTGTATGAGATATGAGTCAGAAAAACAGAGAACCCAGTGATCCATGATATGCACAAAAATAAAGATCCTTTGCGTGTACAGTCAGGATCACTAATGTGTCCTACTTTCACTTCTATGTAAAATTTCTTAAGGCATGCAGTTCAAAAACTTGATGTGGCTTTATACAATCAGATAGAAACCTTTTAATTGGTCAACATAATGATCAAACAGTACAATGGTTACCATTGCAAGACACTGCACACGAACAGAAATATGCATTCAAGTCACTATATAATCAATTTTTCAAGTGCACTGCAATAAAATAAAATGCAATTATTCTGCAGTAATCACAGAGAGGAAATAAGGAACAGAGATGAAAAGGGATGTATGATGGTTAACTCTGTGCAGCAACAGCTTTTTAGTTTAGTCAAAAGCTGACTTTTCTTAAGCAATTGTTTGGAATAAGACATATACCTGCTCCCAGCTATTTGTTATGACAACCTGTATTCCTTGCTGACGAAAATCTGGAATAGTGTCTCTGAAACCCACCATACGTTTCTCTGTTATAAATATATGTCACTTAAAATATCAATTTGAACACCTACTTCCTGCAAAGTCAATCCATAGAATAATTGGTGCTGAGAACACCTAAAGATTTTGGTGATAGTTCTGTGTTTGTGAGACTGACACAACAAACTAATTTCATTTTTTCATTTCAAGAAGTTACGCACCAGTATCTTTGATTCTTTTATACTCTTCAATTTTAAAATGTGGCATGAGAATTACTGTTTCTTATGAAGTGTGTGTTTTCAGAAGATTGTATCATGTGAGTACCAGATTATCTCTATGATCTCCTGCATGGATTATTTCATTAATACTTTTTTACTGTAGCTTTTTCTTAAAAATGCAAAGTGTAATGCCAACCTCATTTTTACTTAGACACTCATCTTCCTACAAACACCTCTGAACTATTTTTTTTATTATCTCCAAGCCCCTAATACCTAAACCATGCAACTTCCATGAATCAAATCCTACTTCTGAATCCCAACTCATGCCCCATGACAAACTGCTCTCATTCCACTTTGTCCACCTCCAGTGTAGGTAGAAGGTTATGTTTCCCCCAGATGTATCATATTTTAATTTATATTTTATTAAAGATAACCTCCAATACTGAAACAGAAATTCAGCTGTTACCAGACTTGAATGTTGAATGCCTTTATAAAACAGGTTGTACAAAATAGTTTGGATTATGCATTCTTTTCAAGATCAATAAAAGAAAAAAATACAGGGAATAACAAAACAGTAAATGTAACAATGGAGAAAAAAATAAAGTAGGGGAAGCAGCAATGCAGAGGGAAAAAAAAAAAAAAAGACAAAAACTGATTAAACTGATTATATACTGGTATAAACGTATGTTTTCCCTTTCCCATAAAATTCTCCCATTTTCCTCTGCATATGTATGCTTCAGATAATCCTCAATGTGTAGTTCTGACAGTACAAAAATAAGAAATGCATCTCATGTTGTTTCCGAGTCAGAGCGATGCTCTTTGAGTCCTTTAGCTAAACAAAATAAAATAAAAAGAGGAGAGAAAGATCTTTCAAAACCAAAGTCAGTTTACTTAAGTGCTGAATTCAGACAGGTTGCAACCCTGAAGCATTTGTGCTCTTAAATTCCCACTGAAAGTAAGTAACTTCCTGGGAAGATGGGGATTTAACTGGTGTTGAAAACTTGAATGTTTTTTGTGAAATACAGATCCCAGTCTGATGTGCGGGCAGTAAGAAAATAGTTGTAATACTAATCACACATGAAAAAAGTCACTAGGGAGTCATTCCAGTACCTAATAGTTTTTCAGTGGCATTTCATATGCCCTAGAGTATCTTTCCCAGCCCTAGGCAGCAACCCATAGGGGATAGAAGTCTCCAGTTTGTTTGTAATCCACTAGCCCTGTCAGGATGTCTTAGACACATCTGGGCACCTAACCTGTCATTAAGACATCAGTGTTTAGGCACCTGAATTGCTCCCTTCATGTCAGATTCAAGATCACTTGAAAATATAAAAATACATGTACAAAAAAATGTGTATGAAAGTTTTCACTGGGTAGGAGAAAACTCTGCTCAGGAGATCACCTGAAGGACAGTTTAAAAGAATGGTGATCCTAATGCAGTGTAAGAATACTGAAGAAATTACAGCAGAATTAATTCCCAGATCAACTAAATACAACCTCGATGACCTCGGAAAAAACCTGCAGTCTCTCTACGTCTCAGCTCCCAATCCATAAAATAGTGACAGTTAAACTACTTTTCTCCGCATCCTTCTCCAGGTTATGACAAGTCTAGAAATTTTCTGGGTCTGTCAAACATATTGTCAAATATAACAGTTTAACTTCTAAACAGTATTTCTAGACATCTTTACCACAAATATTACTATCAGAAGCAGCTTCCGATAATAGAAAAAAAAAAAAAAAAACACAACAAAAAATACAGCAAAATCTTCAATACTTATACCTTTCCTATTGAGTGGTCGTTTTCGTACACAAACACATATCCTGTGCTCATCAATCTGCAATGGAAACAATCTTTCAGTGAACTATAGCCCAATTCCAGTTATATGATATTTCACTTTATTTTACTTCTATTCCTGAATTAACTAACCAATTATTTAAACAAAGAGAAATTTCCAAAACAGTGAGTCATCTGAACGTGTAATAGTCCCTTGTGTTTGCACAATAGCCAAGATCCCAAAAGGGAGAACCATACATTAACAAAACTCCTTGCAGACAGTGATCTAATCCTGTAAAGTACCAGGTATATCTTGGAATACTGCAAACAAATCCAGCTCTGACAGGGTAGAGACACTATTGACAGAAATCGTCACAGTCTCTGATTTCCACAAATATCTGGTAATTGCCATCATTTCAGGATTCTGCTTCTCTGACTTCTCTGCAAACCAAAGGCCCTCATCACCTTCAAAGATCAAATACTAATCTTTACACTCAACAGGGTTTTTCAGAGAAGCTTAATGGTTTTGTGGGGGTATCCCCTAGCATCCCAGAAAAACTTATAATACAGAGGCTGAGTTACTAACTAGTACATACTGGTATTAGTTTATAGTAAAAAGATATGTGAGCGACATTAAATAATTAACAGTAATTTAGTAACCTAAGACTTTCAATACCTACTACCTTCAATATCATCCAATTACTGAAAAAATAAACCCATGTTATAATGAATACTAATATATATTAAACTACTTATTTTTAATGTTTACAGAGAGAAACATACATTGATAAAATTGAAAACAGCAAAAACAGGAGGATAAAAAATTTTCACGTCGCTGGGGTACTTACAGGATCTGCAGTTGTCAGTGGTCTGTAATCCAAACTTCCCCTGAAATCTCTTATCATACACATAATTTCATAATTTGGGTTTGTAGCATCAACATCCTAGGGAAGTAAGCAACAGAATTTCTAACATACTTAGTTTGCTGAAAGGGACTAACATCATTATCTTCTGTATTTATTGATAAGAAAAAATGCACATTAACTGAAACCTTATTTTTCCTCCAAAATGCCAGATATGTATCAAATGCAAGTTTAATGCATTTTCCCATTCTGATGGTGCTAATTTACTGATCATAAAGCATTATATGCCTTATATGCTTTCCATTACATGTTTTCAGTTGGCACGTAATAGAAAATACTTTTTAATTGAGGACTCATTCACAGTCTACATGAGAAAGAGAAATGACTCCCGCCTTTGCCAGAATCTTCACACCAAAGAAACACCTCCGAACGACTGCAGAACAACAGAGAGTACATACAGTCAACACTTCTTAATCTGAGACAAGGCAGTCCAACAGACGAATGGATACTCTCCATCACACAGGTACAACACACACCACAGAGGACGGGGCAGGCACCCCAGCTCCTCTAAACATAGCCTTCCTGGATCCAATACAGTGGAAGGAGCTTGATCCTGCTACTGATCCTGAGTTAACTCCTACAGTTACTTGGATGCATTGGAAACTCTTCTGATGCTCCTAGATGACCCCAAAAAGCTGAAGCAATCCCAGGGACACACAGTAGGCTACATTCAGGCTCAGAGGACCTCCAGTCCCTAAACCCAGAGTCACCAGTACCAGAGTGCATGGACACATAAAAGGTCATGCACAGAGCCCCTCCAAGCCTTGCTAAGCCTAAGCCTACTGTGAGCTGAGCTGCTTCTCTGTAGAATTGATCAAACATCCTTCCTGTCACTTCTCCCCAACACCTGTCAGTTTTTACACCATTCCAGGACACGCTGCTGATGCCATACATAGCCATCCGTGGTGCTCAGACGTTACTAATTTTTGCACGGCTCCCCCCAGATGATATAAAACTCCTTCTGAACCACAGCTGGTTGTGGAAACAGCATAGGCACCCTTGGAAAACACTGCATTGGGGTTAGCAAGCTGAAAGGCAGCCAGCTCATGCCTCTGCACCTGTGACACAGCCAGTCCTCACCTCAGATAAAGCCATGTCCTGGTCATCAGAAGCTGACTGTACCTTGATGTTGTTCACCCTGCCTACGGCAAACTAGAAACTGCTGACTCGTAAGTCCACACAAAATATATTCCTAGTGAAACATTTCCTTCTAACATTCTGAAAGGAGTGTGGCTTATTATGGAAGAAGCGTTTGCCTAATATTCTTCAAAGCCTGTTTAAAGGACTTGCCCACTAGAAGACAGTGTTTGGCTAATTACTGCTGCATTTCACAACAACAGAATACACAAACCAACACAAAGCAGAGGTACATACAGGTCACCACGACAAACAGAGCTTCCTCGTACAGCAGGTTAGGACTCCAATTCAAGAGGAGTCTTCACATGAGCAATATGAAAGAAATTTTAGGTGTCATACTACGTCAAAGTATTTTAATATATAACACCAAAAAAAATTTGTTTCTCACACATAAAAGCATAGCAATGTTTTACACTTGTGTAAATGGATAGAACTAAGAGAACATGAATTCAACATAGGTGATTTTAGGTCAACTTAGAAACGTCATTAAACCATGAAGTAAATTGAATTATTTACTTGCTGGTGGTACTTCTCATGTCAGTAGTGGATTGGTAATATCTCTTTAAAGACTAACACACACACACAAGGCTGACAACAAGATTATACTACTAGTTCTGGTAAAGCTTTTACACTACTGTGATAGAAAGTCATTTAATATTAAGATATTTTTCTTGCGGTATTAGAAACTTCATTTCTCTCACATAAGTTTCTAACAACTTGCTGCCAAGCTGCTTGCATGATGCGAAGCTAAATTATGAATGCATAGACTGGTTTAAAGAAAAAAGAGTTAAAAGTCCTTGTTCAAACTTGAGCCTCAAACAGATCTCCTACAAAGCACCAAAGATCATAAAGAACAATTTATCGTAATGTTGTAATAGCTCCTGAAGAGTAACAGATACATCTAAAAACCAAATTGATTATTTTCAACAAGATTTTCCCTAAGAAATAGCTATCATCAGTACCTGATCATTAAAAAACACATGGCAAGATAAGCTATTGTAAGCAATTATTTCTGCAGGAAGAAAAAGAGAGGGAAAATTGACTAAAGTAACAGTTATGAGAGCAATGCAACCAAGCACCAAAATATTTAACAAACTTGTACACAGGATGAAAACATTTAATTTCCAGATTATTACAGTTCTTAAAAATTATTAGACTGAAAAAAAGTACAATGATTTTGCAAACCTCTTCTCTTGATGGCATACATTCTCCATCTGAGCTATATATACTAACCTGAGCTCTTTTTTCTCTAAGTTCCTGCTGCTGTAACCTTCTTTTTTCACGTTTCTCTTGCAATTTTTCAACCTCTTTTACACAATTTGATTTTCTACGTGCTTAAAGAAAATGAAATAATTTTAAAATATTTTCAGTGTTGCATGAATTTAGTTTTCACACTGTGGCATTTCAATTAATATTAATTTAATGATAATTAGAATGCATTTACATAAACTATCAATTTAATTTCTAAAATTAAAAAAAAAAAATAGAAAAAAGTCATGGGAATGGGACAATAATTACATGACCAAAAATATAAGGACAATGACCCTCAAAAAATAGTTGGACAGATACCTGTGATCTCCTGGTTTGAATTAAAAGAAAGCTCAGGCAAATGAAAAAAAAAAAAAAACCAAAAAACCAAAAACCACATCGCCATGGTTAAAAAATGATGAAGTAAAAACTAATTTCAAATACTAGCACAATTGTGATGAAAGTGAACATTTCTTTAGCCACAGATCTCTGAAAAGGCTCCTCAAGGAAGCCCACAGACCCAAGAGAATGTACATGTAATGTCCAGAATGAATGAATCCTTGATGCATGCTCTACATACAAGGGGGTCCAAATTCCTTTTTTGCAGCTTGAACTGGAGATATATCTGAAACTGTACCATTCTGTTGAGAGGAGGAAGACTGCTCAGGAAGCTGAGTAGGTCGCACACGTGCAGAACCAGCCACTGCAAAGGAAAAGCACAAAGCTCATCTGGACATGGAAGGGTAACATTACTACCCAATTCTGAAATGCTTTGTTGTGAAGGGACAAAACAAGGCCCCTTTCCAGACACAACAATTTACTGTGGGTAAAGGGGAGCCATACATGTAGAAAGTCTATTAATAAAGACACCTGGTATGAAGCCTTTTTTATCCCAGTGTTATACAACAATACAACATAATTAAGTAGCAGTGCTGCATGTGTGTACTTTTTATATACTCTACTGCAGAATTAGTACAACTTACTATGTGCATAGAGTCAAGTATGTACTTGGAAATATGCAGTCCTGAAGCTTAAAGTGTTGGAATTTTATTTCTTTTGGGGTTATACCCAAAAAATGAGCAAGGAAAGAAGCCCCACTGTTTCACATTCTCTAAATGTTGCAAAATGGTCCTGCCCTGTTGAGCCTACTATCTCTGGAGGAGCAAAGGGATACAAATGAAAGACAGCACCATGCAACTCAAATCTGTGAGTGGAAGAAACAAACCTTTTTAACGTTATACTGTAAGGGATACCATTAATATGTCTAAACTTATGCACTGATTCTATAAGTGCTAAGGATGCCAATTTCTGAAGGTGCAGTGATGTCTGTTCGCAGTGAATGCAGTGGAAATGGTAAGCATGCAAGCCCCTCTGAAAGAGATGAATGCTTTAAATTGTTTTTTCAAAGAGTTGCTTCAAGCAGCTCTGCTTCAGCTGGCCCATTTCCTGCATAAACCTAACAAAGTCTTCAAGAAGAATATGAAAGGGAAGGTATCAGCTTTGATTAGAGGCCAGAGATGACACTCCAAACGAAGGCCAGCTCACTGTGCAACACGGAGACAACTATGGAAACAGGGATGGAATGGTACAGACAAGATCATTCCGAACATGATAGGAGATCTAGTCTACAGCACAAACTGACTACAGAAAACAAGACAGTGTGCTGAGAAAAACTTATTTACAAGGCCAACAAAGAACAAACACTTAGGCCAGCTATAAATAGCAAGATGCAGAGGACCTATTAAAATACGAGTTACAGGGTTGTTCCATACTAAACAGGCCATTTACTATAAATGGCAACATGTATGGATGTGAGGAAAGCCCATCAGTAAGATGTTTCAAATTTAAACCATATTAGTTTAATAAAAATTATTCCCTCCTCATGAAATTTTCGATTTGTTTAACACTCGCAGAGGCAAATGGCAAAAGGATGAGTGGTCCCAGTCATCCACCAGAAGAGTCTGAACACTTGCAAAGGTACACAAGCCCACTTGTTTTTCAAGTTTAAACAGATGGACTGCAATTTAGTCTGAATTAATGACAGTAGATTCATGTTTGGAAGAAGAATCATCACCATCATCAGTACAAGTTAGTTAGTTTAATGCAGGAGAGAAAATTGAAACAATAAGCAGTAACTATTCTTTCTCATGTTATAGATGCATTACATCTGTATTCATCCAATACATACTTTTCACCTCACCCTCCTGTGGTATTTCAGCATTTTTTGTAGATTTTTCACTGTTAACTGTGGAGTGAGAAATAACCCATACGGCTTAAGTACTCTTTGAAAGAATGTTTACAGACTGTTACAAAACCAAGTTAAATTGAAAGCCTAAGAATTTTAAGTGCACTACTTAGCGTATGTTGAAACGCTCAATTAAGCTGAAGCAAACTGAGGATGCTTTAACTTGGAAAAGTGCACACACGATTTAATGTAGCATAATTAATTAACTTCCATTTTTTGCACCTTCAGTTCATTCAGCTTAACTTCCCTGATGTTATATTGCTTAAACTTGCATATAAATACTATTTGTATAGTATGAATTCCTAAATATACATAGGACTAATTCTAGGAATGATGTAACATGTCTTTTACACGTTACATGCATATATACTGAATGAGAAATACAGAACTATTAAGGAATGTTAGATGAACAGGAGGATAAAATGTTCCCATGTTTTTTACTTCATTTAAATGAAAAGAGATAACATTTACCTCTGTTATCTCTGGCAGGAATGTCATTTTTAACACTTAACACAGTTCGTCGACTCTGTAAAGAAAGAGATCTCTGTTATTTAATTTCTATACTACTGAAAATGTAAACTGTAGCCCCACCTCTGCTTCTTTCCAGTGAAAGAAAATAACATGATGACATCAGAAATACAAAGAGGTGATTGCTACCAAATCCCTCCTTGAAGAGTTTAGGGTGAAGACTGCTTGAAATACACATACTGTTTCAAAACAACCTCCAAAGCCTCTTCTCTATTTTCCCTTGAGATATATTTAGTTACATAAATATTACTTCCCAACTACCTCTCTGCCTAACCAGTTCTCAAAAATTTTTAGAAAACCCTATTCACCATAGAAAAAGAAAGGAACACAACTATCAAATAATTCCACGGACATAGAAGTTAAAAATTCAAGCACAACAACACATATAGCAGCACTGCAAGCTGAACATGAACACACTGCGTAGCGGTTACCAACCTTCACGATTTTGTTTACTTTGGCTGATGGAGCAGGTGGTGCTGATGTGTCTGGACCAGGTTCACTATCTTCATCGAGTACAAGATCTGGGTTAAGTGAAAATATGCTCTCCAAGTCAATCTGTATAAAAGAATATAAAACACATTTATGACTCTTAAAACAATATTCACTCTCTCCATTTCTCCTGTTATATTTGAGAATAAACAATAAATACACTTCGTGGGTTTACCCCACAATTTGTTAATTCTAAAAGCTAAATTATCTCTGTTATGTCCACTAAAAGTGCAACCTTTGGTCTTTGGAGGAGTTGAAAACACACTCCTCAGAAAAGGGATGAATTAAAAATGACCAATAGATATTCATAATTTTGTCAAGTGATTAAATTAAAAATAAAACAGCTAGTATTACTGTGGTAATTTGACAATTACTGCAAAACACGAAAGACATTCTGTAACATAGAGATCTTAATTATTTGAAATTTCCCAGACAGTGCAAAAGAAACAGATGAATTGCAACCACCCAAAAAATAAATGCATAGTTGAAACCATGTTAAATTTATCATGCTAATTTTCTTCTTTTAAGTGTTCCTCGTTCAAAATGCTGTAAAATGTAAGGGGGAAGGGGCAGGATCTTAAAAATAGCTGTCTTCAGATCTGTTGAAACTTGATTTCCTAAAAATCTTAAATAGCTTTTGTTTCTATAGACCGCCATTTCCCCTGTCTGGACCTCTAAAAGACCTCGCTATTGTATGGATACTGCACATCCAGAGGGATGAGCTCAGCTGGTGAGGTCACCAGGCCTCTCTCATAATTTTTTTTTTCCTTTTTCCTGTGTTTTCAGAAATCCAGTAAAGTGTAATTATTTCTGAGATGCTTCTCTAAATCTCAGCTGAAACTGGCTAACATGGTCCATAATTTAAAGGAAGAGAGGATAGCAACGCATTACACACAAGGACATGGTTTCTCAAAGAAAGCAAGGTTGGAAAATTATTGCCAACAATAAATAAATTAGCAAATAAACTAGCAGATCAATTCCTTAATAATACAAATACAAAAAAGATTTCTAATCTAGCTCTCCCACTAGTTTCCTGTCCGAACTGCAAGTCATTCTCCCTCTCAGAAATTTGATTTTTCTACTTCTAAAAAGAGGATAACAAGATCAGCCTTTGTAATCTGGTTCCAAATCAATGGATGAAAAGAACTATTTAAAAGCTATGATACAGAGCTTAGGAAGTTACATTTAATACAACAGAAACCAGCATTTACCTAACAGCTCACATGAAAAACAGGCTGTAACCAAAGTAAATTAATATTTATATAACCTTTTCATTTCCAGTACAAATTCCAAAGTAAGACTGATGTAAATTACACATTTTTTTAAAAAGATAAAAGTTCCAAAATAAGTAAATTCACCTCTTTGCCTTTAGTATCTCCATTTTCAATCCATTCAACAGTTACACTTTCATTATCTTCATTTAGGGACGTTACCATAGCTTGGTGAATTCGCCCTAGAAAGCAAACACACATGATCATTTTTTAACTGGCAGAAAAATTTTACAGAAGTTACTTTCATCCCTGCATTGAGACATGTGGAAAGAGGCAGGAAGAAGAGGGTTAAAAAATATGAGGTGATAAACAGATGATTCCTGGCCACACTGTGAAGTGGCTCAGACCTGATCCACCAGTGGAGGCTCTAACAGGACAGTCAGCATACAAGTGAAAAGCTCAAGGAACAGAAAACTGAGTGGTAAGCAAACAAAACACCATGTGAAAGCCACACTACTTAGACTCTCTTTTCTTGAGAGAAGAACACTCCAATGCCACAAGTCTCCTATGGGCAGTAAAGTCTCATGAGGTGTGCTCCACAAAGGCTTGTTTGTCCCCCTTCTAGGCTGATACAGCACTGTATGTCCCAACACAGGAGTGAAGCCCTCTGAAATTGTATTCTAATATCTAATTCTTATGGACCTCCAACCATTTGGTATTTCAACTAAAATTAAATTGCCTGCAACAATAATACAAATCAACATTTTAAAAACAGCTGCCTACACAGACTGCTGAGCTGGAGTTAATGTGCCATTGCTTGAAAGACCCACAGCCAGCAAGCCCCCATCAAGTACAATAAAACCAGTTAACTTTCAGCAGGAATATGGATTTTTCTTCTTAAACATGTAGTGTGCCACAGATTTTTTATGTCCTATTTCATGTGCACAGTAGCGAGGAGTAACTGGAAGAGCTGAGCAGCCACGTGCTGACACAAAACAATCAAGACCCAGGTGTCACACTGATTTCACAACTGTGTTTTACCCTAAGAATACAAGAATTGGGGTTTCTAAAGAACATAAGTCCCATGCAGCCTCTCCCCTAACACCCTCCTTTAAGGAGCCATACCACGAACAAGCAATCCTTCACTCCACCCACCCTGAGCCACCCTCAGGTGTCCAAGGGCCACGCGCAGCTCCCAAATCACGAGCAACCATCCCAGAGCAGCCCATGCATGTGCTGCTGATGCCACCACCGGGCACCCACTCAGGGCAAAACGCCGCATGGTCCTTGCGCATCTGCTCTGGGCTGGGTCTCCTCCACCCTGCACTCACCCTTCTCCTTTCCTAAAGCTCCCATCCCCCAAAAATCCACTCCAGTTTTCTCCTCCGTTGATTATTTCAAACTTCTGGTTTAGCCCTTTCAGTCCTAATTTGACAGTTTTCCAAAGTTACTGGTATTATGCACTCTAAGCCTCCTCGGGCCTACTGAGGGGCAGGAAAGAAGAAAGCCCTTGACTGATATCCCAAATTATCTCACCTAATGGTACACGTAACAAACGTACACTGTTAATACTTCCTTTATTGCAAAGGCTGCCTAAACATTCACACCCAGTTAAAATTAAGCAAGAAGAGAGACGACAGGGAAGTGTCATGGAAGGTAAAAACAAATCTGTGTGCTCTAATATAATGTGCAGAGGAAGAGACTAACTGAAATTCGGGCAGCGCTCGGGGAACTTGCAGAGCAGCCAGCACCACCGGGCAGCACTGCTTTCACATACATTACATATGCATTTACAACCTCCATGCTTGTCCCTGGCCAAAGCATAAGAGTCACTCCACCACTAAAGAAGGTTAAATAGTGGGTTTTTTACTTTAAAAAAAAAAAAAAAACACACAAACAAACAAACAAACAAACAAAAAAAAAAAAACCAAAAACCCAAAACTCTCCCTTTGCTTCACTTGGTTGCTCTTCTCTAGCATTCACCATGTTTTTTTCCCCTAAGCCATGTTTTGGCTGAACAAGCCCTTCCATCCGTGCCTCCTGCACACCGTTCTCCCAGCACCCCAGCTGTGTGCTCTGCAGGGATGGCCTGCCTGCACTCCCCACTCGGGTGCTGCCAGGAGATGCGTGGGCAGGGACCACCCCCATGTCCTCCCCTCCACCCACGGGCACTCCACCCTTTCCCTTCACCCAAAGGACTACAGTGCGCAGGCAAGCATCCCGCCCCGGGACCTCGGCCCAAATTCTGCTGGTAGAGGAGCTGAAGCAAACTCACTGAGCACAACACTCTCGCACCTTATTTCCTTGGAGGAGTGTTTTTGTGCAAGTTTTCTTTGCACAAGGTCCTCAATACACCCCTCCATTAATTTCACTGTATTTAATAACCTCAAGGGACTTAATTTTGTACAGGAACACCTTGTGGTAGGACTGTTTTGATTACCCATCTGGTCCATCAGCAAAGCAGCAACAGAAGGCACTGTCTTCCTTTAGCAGTGCCACTCCTGCCACTTCTACAAAGAGCAATCTGGGAACACAAGGACACAAAAACTGTGGGAACTGGAAGACTCCTCAAGCTTACTTTGGTATAATCTGCTACTGCTTTAAGGCTTGGTCCAGCTGTCAACCCATAATCAAAAGAAAAACGATACATGAAAAATGTAAGTTTAGTGAAACATATTCTATACAATACTATAATAATCTTTAGTATGTTACCAAATTTTCTAAGTTTTGAAAAGCAGTATTCACAGCTGAAACCTGCGACACTGTATTAATCACAGAGCCATCATATAAGTCCTATTACCTGCTCCTGTGCTCTATTACTTTTGACAGAGAATGAATAATAATTTTTAAAGTTTTAACCTTTATCATGACAAGTGAAAGGAGATCAAAGCAGGCTGATGAATGAATAGAAAATACTGAACACTCTTACAAACACAGTAAGCCAGCATGCCTGAACAAAATAATCACAATAAATCTTCCATCTCTGCCAGATTTCATCTGTTCTCTGGCCAAGAAAGTCAGGGCTGAATTAAAAAAAAAAAAAAAAAACACAAAAAAAAAAAAAAAAAACACACAAAAAAAAAACCTGAAAAAATAGTAAAACTTATGTCCATCTTCCGAATATTCTCAGCTTAAATAGAAAATGTATACTATAATGTTTAAACTGGCAGTATACCCATACAATTTGTTCCTAAAAATTCTTTGTGTTACTGAAAGTTTACATGTTATTGAAATGCCAGAAAGCACATTTACATCTTTACAATTGCCTCTTGCTCTCCACAAACAGTATTCCATTATATTTTTCTAGTACACAGCTGAATACAGCAGCTGTGAAATTCAGGAATGCCAGCAACCAATTAGGCTGGCATAAACCTCGTCTAGCATATAAAGCAAGACCAAGCTGTAAATGCTAAAGCATAAGAGCCAAATCAATCTGCAGAGTGGTTGAAGGCAATGTCCCTCATTTCTGGTGCACTTTCTAGAGTTGGTATCAAAATCTGAAATGTAAACATGTCCATGTAAACACAAACATACATTACGACAAACTGAAAAAGGAATAAGTGATAAAATAAATACTATATTCACAAACATCTCAATAACAGAAGAAATTAGGGACACGGCGCTGATACATCTGCTCTTCACTCAGCGTTTGATTTCTAGCGCCTTTCCTCACATGCTTAGAATTCACATCACAGGCAGAACTTTTTCTGGGAAGGTATTACATTGCTGTAGGGCTCAAAACTAATGGAGAAGGTATTTGAAAAAGCTATTATTTATGTAAATATGTTGTATCATTCAGTGTGCAGTATCTGGCTTATCTCCTACTGACTAGACCACACAGAAGATACTGCTGCAGATACCGCAAATCAACACAAACACATGTGAAACCAACACTTTACAACTACCTTACAGACACCTATGTTACAACATTCTCACTCTAATCAGTACAAGGAAGTAACATCAACTTTTCATTTCCATCTCTTCTTAGTCATGTGATGAACATTTGACAAACAGAAGAAAGCAAGCACAAACATCTGTAGAAATATCAAATAAACCCTCTCTACCGTAGGAGTTTTTAGGGTAGCTATTGGTGCAGAAAAAGGTTCAGGAAACAGCAGCAAAAGCAAATAACCAGGGATAAACCAAAGATTTTAACTAACCCTCAACCTAGATAGCAGTGCAAACTGATTGCCAATATTGTACTTAGATCCTTACCTCTAAGCAAATTGAACATTTTCTACCTGCAAAACTTCTCCAAACCACCACAGCTGTGAAGCAGTGACCAATGACAGTACTAAAACCATGACCTTTTCATCTTCCTAATATGTTTCTGAAACATAAGTCAGTGTTAAATATGGGTTGGTGTTTTCTAAATGACAATCTGGGCTACAGCACTGGCTGGTATGAGACAAGCCCCTTTTTGCTCTCCCAAGTGACTCAAGAAATAAGGCTGGGAGAAGACCACAGCCTTCACCACCCTTCCACATAATTAAAGTGCACTCAGCCCAAAACACTGTACTGACACATCTCATGCAAAAATTTTGTGAAGTCCTAGAAATACCTTCAAGCCATAATAATTAAAAATTTACACACAGGCTCTGGATCTAGAAAGGTTTTTCATTTCCACTATGACCCCCTCATTCTTCCTCCCAAAACAGTAGCAGGACCCTGCCAAACAGTGTTATGCTATGAACACGATACAGTTGTTTATAACCCTGTCAGCTCAAACTATTACTTTTAGCAGGACTAGGCAATGGCAATGTTAACAGACCCAACATTCAGGAAAGGAAAATCCAAACCTTACATTACATCCTCTGAACTGCCACTTTTTTAGGAGCACAACTGTGCTATTTTAGCTCAGGCAGTAGTTCGTCAGCCAAGCACTTGGTTTTTCTAAGTGCATCAACAGTAAATGTTTCATAGATTAATGCAAAAATATACAACTTAACATCTGGTACAGAGTTTTGCTGAAGACAACCACTGCAACAGAACAGAAGCTACCCATCACTTAAAGGATGTTTGTGAATAGGCATTTGTGAAATAGCCATGATTTTCCTAATCACATTCATGAGGGACTAATATGAATGTTATCTCATCTAGAGACAGCTGGACAGGAATGACCTGCACCCTCTGACACTTGAGATTCAAAAATTAAAATTGCAAAAAGTAGAATTTTCTTCACTCTTAAAAATAATACAAAAACCAAGTCACATAGACAAATATATATATATATACACACACA